TCCTTCATCGTCGCAAATGTGATAGAGTACCTTACTCTTGCCACTGCTCTCTATCGCGGGTTAGTCTGATCCCGGATCCGAACAACAGACAATCACTGCACGGAACGGAGACGGGACTTGATCGACTTCAAATGAGACCAATCCCATCCAATTACAAGCCGAAAGAGCCTCACAAAGTTACCACAGACTCTCCACAAGTCCAAAACCGCACCATGTGACGAAATATCAATCGCCCTACTTTGGTTTTGCGGCTTTCGCTTGCCTGCACTCTTCGGCCGCGGCCAACGCAGCATGACGAGACAAAAAGAAACGGGACGACAGCTTTCACAGCCGCCCTACGCGCATCATCGCCTTTCCTTCCCTTGTCCCACCACCGTCCATGCAGGGAGCGTTTCCCCCTCGACGTGAACCTCGACCTCCAACCTCCAACCTCGCAGCGTTCGACCCCGAGGCCTGGTGCACCAAGCTTGTCGGAACCCGGATGCCCTCTTTGCCGTCATCGCCATGTCACTGCCTTGCCCAGCTCAGCATGCGGTTCGCCCGTTTATCACTGCGTCCCCGACTCCGTACTTCGTATTGAGTATCGACGCAATGGCCAACGGCCCATGCTTCGGAATTTTCGTCCCCCGGTTGATGTCATTTCCTACAACCAACCTCCTGGATCCCGCCCGATATCAGTCCCAGAAGCGAAAAGAGGCGACTTCACAAGCGAGGCGGCGAGAGACAAGGCCAGGACCCCAAACTCCAGCACCATCTCCAGCCCCAGCCGGCATACCGAGTACTGGGATAAGTGGGATTCGACAATCCATCACTGACTGATCCGAGACTCAGAGTTGCCTGGTTTCCACTCCGTCTCCCGCTTCTGCCCAGTTATTCTCTCCTCTCTCACCGTTCGCCTAACCTCAGCGTCGCGACATAGGCACCAATTATCTCCCTGGCCCCTCCTCGCTCGTCTCCGATGCTTGCCGCGGCCCGTCAAACTGACGTTCTGGGATTACTGTGTATGGGACCGAACGGGACTGAAATTGAAACGACGCATCTGGGCACCAAGGACCTTATCCCTCGAACAACGTGACCCATTGCACGTCCGAGTCCCAATTAATTCTCTACATGGCACGGATGCATCAGAAGTCCAGAATTGCTTCTCTACCCCACGGCAACGTACTTTCACCTCGACAGCTTCGCAAGTTGGCCCATCTCTTTGGCCAAAAGCCCAAGACGCTCATAGCAGTGTCAAAGACACAGTTGACCATTACCGATAGATTCTCCGTGCCGTGTGAGGCCAGCCTTGATATCAGTCCAATACGCTCGTTGTTTCCAGTCTTAACCCTGTAGAGGGGGGTAACGGGACAGACACAGAAACGGAAACCACCCGGCCAGACCGCACGATGAGACTGGCGTGCGAAGTACGGATACGCTGTGGTCGCAAGTCACCCATCGTTGCTCTGCACCTGCATCTGCACCTGTATCTGCACACTGCAGCACCGTCGTGAATCCATTCGGCCCAATCACCATCTCGCCCGGCCCCTGTCGGCGATGGAAAACCCGCTTTGCCAGCTACGATTGGCTGGACACTTCAAGTTCCTGAGACCGAAGCATTAGAAGAAGACTTTCAGAACACACCGATTGTCCTCTTGAGGGTTGTGTGTACAGGAAAAACCGAGCCCTGTTCGAGGAGCGAATGTCGGAAGGATGGTCTTAAATCACACCGTTGAGCTTACCACTCGTTCGACTCTGTCTGTTATGCCCTTGACAGCCGAGGCAAAGATAAGCGAGGAGGACGATGCGACAATGTCAGAATAAGCTGGACGTCGTGACGTCTCAACCATCAAACAACTAGGGCAAAATGGGACTCTAATTACCCCTCCATACCCTGGACTATCCTGAGAGCTCGAGCTCAGAATACAGCACGAACCCTCGTCGGCCATCTAAGATACTCGTGGCACCCATCACGCAGGAAAGGCCGAAAGAAGGGACGGAAATACCCCGCAGACGCACAGTAATGGGGCCGCTTAGCAAACCTTTTCCCTGGTTTTCGGTCAATGGCAAGTGCTGAACAGCTCAGTTGGCAACTTGACGCACTTTTGCAGCAGGAAATCCACACCCCCTAACGGTTACCTCCTATTCCAACTGCATCTGAAGAAACAGTTCGTTCCAACTACCAAGGCCATGACGAAAGACAAGTCCCATCTGGTCTGCTTTGTTTGCCAGAGTTACGGCTCACTGTTGGCAGCACGAGCTAGCATGATGTCTCCCGTCTTCGCTAACACGCCTGACACTGGACAGACAGCTGCAGGGATAGTCGACCTGATCCATGATGCTGTACCACCATCGCGAAGATGGCGTTCTCGAACCCAGGCAGAAGATTCAAAGTCAACAAGCAAACACGCGTTGCGTTCGCAATTCGCAGATACGATGGCATTGTCGACAATCAAAGACGCGGCGTCCCCGCCCGCCGGGGTTCCTTTAATATTACACTGTTAAATGACCAGCGACTAGGATCGGAAATTGTTGCAGGGGCCAGCGGCGACAGCCACCAGAATCCCCGCCAGAGCATTTTGGCTGCAGAACCGGTGTCCCTCTTCTCTTGTTCCACTTAATCGACCTCGCCGATGGAGGCTTGAAGCCGGCCCAGATCACAGGAAACAAGACAGTTGCGAAACGCCATTCATGTTTGAGCATCGAGCCAGGACGATGAGATAGGGAAATAGAGTCAAAAGTATTCGCAAACGCCCGCCGAAAGGCGCCAAAGGGGCGACGGCTGCGCGCCACTCAATGCTTGCAAGTCTGCGTCCGCAATCAATACCTTTTATTCGTACTCCGTACATTGCACTTGATGACCTACCTACACATCGGGAGTCGGGACTACACACCGGGCAGGCTTCATGCTTATCGGTTCCGAGCAAAGGAATTCTTCCATGGCTTATTTTAGCAGTCTCCGCAAGCCGTTTCGTGGCTCGGTCTAGAAGTGCAAATTGGAGGGAGCTAACGGCGCCGCTCGCGGCACCAAAGGCTTGTGCCCTAGCAACAACAACGAGAAAATGAGGAAGAAAAAGACACAGCGGCCGTATTCACCGGCTCGCTTTCGACTTCAGAGACGAAGCCAAGATGGGCCTTGCAGTCTATAATCTCCCATAAATCATCGTTCAGGAAATGCCCCGTTGCAGGCACGTATCGGAACTCAATGGCATGATCGGATGTCGTGTCACAGTCTCGTTCCGGTGCCAAACCCGTTGGGCCTGTCCCTCGTCTCCAACAGTAGTGAGGAGAATAAGCAAACAACACCAGGAAAGATACGAAAGTCAAAGCAACAAGGCGATCCAACGAGAAGGCAACTGGTCAGCTGATCACGCCGCCATGCTGAACATGTTACACCCGGTTTCCGGTGGATCGTAAGACACAGTCTTCAGCTCTGTTTTGCTTCTTCCTCCAGCTTCTGGTCTCGAGGGGAAGGCTCGGACAAGCCGTGCTGGATTGTTAGTGACTCGCGGTAGAGGCTTTGTACTGCTGATCTCAATGCCCAACACCCAACTATGGGAACAAAATAATACGCCAGTGCGACTCCGCGGAATCGAAATCCACGCAATCGCACACGGCTACACCTGTACGATCCTGAGTAGTGAGTATCTGTACTGATACATATTCCACAATGTGCGGGCCCAGAGCGTTGGAACCCGCATCTCTAGTGATCCTATTTAGGTAGTGTGGCTCCCGAGTCACTGGTCCGGAAGTCTTCCAGCTGCGATTTTTACGAGTCAAGCATCGACAGCACCGATGGGGAACAGTAACATCTAGTTCGGCTGATCTTTGGGCTGCGTCTCTTCGGCAGTCATCTTTCCTCGGCCGAATCAGTCCACCACGCGTATTTGGCCCATGTCAGCCTGATCCAGCAGTCTTCAGACATGAAGATACGAGTTTGTTACTGCAGTGTCTGCGGACAAGAATGGAGAGTTGGTCAGTTGGCAAGTTGCCCGTGATCTGCAATGGAGAAAAGCAGATAACCTCACTAATAACCTTAGTGACCCTCCCATCGCTCATACCATCTCTTGGCCGTCACATCTCAAATGTGCCCTGGCCGCCGTGTCCAGCTTGCAGATCCGGAGTTCCGCGGCCTCCAAAGCCTTGCCTGGATGTCGTTGCCAGGCCAGGAAGAATCATGACTAACACCACGCACACTATCCGCATCGTAAGGAAGCAATGCATAGACAGTTCAAAGCTCTCTTGCGTTTGCTCTCTCAACCCGCGCGGCTTGGATAAGGATGAAGGGTTCGGGCACCACCAGGACATGCCTTGGAGGCCTACGAAAAGGCATAATCAATCATAATCAACCACCTTGTTACTTTGTGAACCGGCTGGTCTTCGAGGATGAACCCCCACTCCAGGGTCTCGGCATTGACCAATGACTCTCTTCCGGGGGCCTGACACCATCATGCCGTCCGCCCTCCGGATTTTTTGGCATCACCATCGTACTATGCCGCCGCAAACCCCCCTTCAGTCATACAACTGGCACATATTGGCCCCCTTTCACCCTAGGAAATCGGGCCAAGGACCTGTTCGATTATCTGCACGTTGCAAACGAGTGTCACCCCATCTCGATTCCCCCGGCAAGCAATCGTCCGAGAGCAAATCATCCGGTCCCCTTTTCTACGGCGGGAAACGCAACAAACCCTCTCCGAGGCCACCGAGTGCGCGATGCTTGCCAATGCTTGCTCATCCAAAAATCAGCATTGACCAGCTGTGACCACCGGCACCGGGCGGCCCTGACATGGCTCTTCGGATGTCGACGAGCTCGAGACTCCGCCAACCCAGCTTCTTGGGTTAGCCCCCGGTCTCGCCTCTGAGCAGTGCCTCTTTCTCTTTCAGCACTCCCAGAAACCATTGCAAGTCGGGGCCACAAGTGGTAACCTAAACAGATATCTTGCTCCACCGAGCGCTATCAACAATTGCAGCACGCACCATCACAGGCACAAGGCGTTGGTTCCGCGCGTCGGCGCGCGGCGACGCAGTACGCGGACCAGAAACGACACCCTCGTCGCGTTTGTCATCTGGTCGGTCTTCGACACCCTCTATGAGTCTACAGACGTGCCTCGGCCAGTCTCCGGTTCAGCGAGCGCGGTAGTATGTTCTCCCAGTATTGCTCAGCGACACTGCTTCCGATAGCATATCAAGGACATATTGGACATATAGGACCCCCGGCGAGTATCCCGCTGAGTGGTTGCAGTAGACGCAACACCCGCCCTCTCGTTCGCCAGGGTTCTGGGGGTTCATCAAGTGTCAACGGGCCGCGGGGTAATCGCACGTGTATGCGACGGTGCAACCTCGCCCGTCACACCGTCTTTCGTTATCTCGTCACTTTGTCAAACATCTGTCGCGATTACTTATTGTCAAGATCTTATAGAGCGGGTGTTAATAAACCTCATCGCACCTTTGGGGTTCGAGATCCACCGGCACGGCGACTGTTGCAACCCATGGGCAGAAAAAGTGGTGGGCAGTTCGCCCAGTTCTCTCCTCCCCTCTCGAATCCTCTGGGGCTGGCTGGTCCTGGGGTTGCAGTGGGATGGATCGTGGCACACCAAGAGCTGCCAAGACAAGGAAGTGAAGAGAGGGCCAGCCGACCACGCGAGCTGAGGCATGGGGGATGCGTCAATCTGCCGCCGTGGGATTGATTGAGGGTATATGCCAATGCCCATTCATTGCCCGCGGGTTTTTTTTTACTGCCTTGCTGCCCATGAGTTAATAAGCTGGCTGGTTTATAGACCCCGCCGCCATGAACTCAAAACAAGAATACCGGTCAAACAGAGGGCGACTGGTGATGCGGAGGGCTGCAGTGGATGCGCTTTGAAGCTATATTCGGCAAATCGCCCTATTAAGGCTATGGGCATCAACAATTTGGTCCAGTCTACTTCGTACGCGAGAATACCGCAAGCGATGTAATGTGATGGGGAGGGGGAAGAGGTCGCCTGTCTCAATCCACCCGCTTCCCTCCCGCTTTGACAGCGGCCCTCTTGTTCCCACCGTACCGCCTTGTCTCAACAGCCTGCTCATTGCAGGTATTTACCGGCATCACATATGCAGGCTAGATATTGCAGGCGTGTTCGACGGTGGACTACGGAGTACACTGACCTGGAACCCGCCGGGGCTCCACTGCGCACTATACTTACCTACCTCGTTTTTGTCTGAATTACATGCAGGTCTTTTCGAAAAGAGACAAGATGGATTGGATGGAGACTGGTGGACGAGAGGAGTTTTGAGAGAAAAAATAGAGGGGCGCGCTTCTGCAAACTGCAGTCTGCACGGCACGAATTAAGGTTGAGTCTATTGCGAAGGAGGGTATTAAGCGCGCCTTGCGGGAAACCCCGTTGTCTCTCTCTTGCAGCTTCACCGCCATTGTCTCAGAGTCACGTTGGACAAAATCGATACAGTAGTGTAAGCAAAGGAGGAAACATGAACCTCATCATCCCACTGCGGAGCGTTTCTTCCTCTTTTATCATTCGCTGCGACGTCTGAGCAAGTTTAAACGTCACAGGTTCTCTCGATCCCGATTGGGAAGGCGAGAAGGAGACTTCCCAAGGCGGAGGTAGTTGCAGACTTTGTAGACTACATCTGGTCTGGATTGAGATGTGATCGGCAGAGATGCAGGTAATTCAAAGGTTGGTTTGACCTGGATAGTCGTATAGTTAGAGCGAGTATTGATCACCTTGCTTTAGTTTATGGATGCGTGATGTGCAGAATTGCTGGTTTGGGAGAGGACAGTTGTGGGGTGTGACTGCCGAAGTATTGGCGGGAGCCTCCGATGGAGAGCGGGATGTTGTCCGTGAGGTTGTTGAGGGAGGTCTAGATCTTTGAGGTGCGTTGGTTTCTCACGACGTGGTGGTTGAGTTGTCGGGATCGTCTGGTTTGTTTCCTTTTGTGATGTATTTGCTTCTGCCGTGTAGTCAATCGCCGGGGTTTGTGCTCCGTTTTCTGAACATCTGTTGTTCAAAGTATTGTCATCAACTCCGAGTCTTCGTCTGTTGTCATACATGCCGTCTTTGAGATGCTTAGACCGCTCACGACTAGAACTAGTCTCCTCATAGAGCGATAGTTGTCCTTGACCCAGAGCTCTCAGTCTCAGCACGACATTACTTCCACCTTCAGTAGATAATTGTGCTAATCAACATCGATGGATCGTGTTTTCTGATTCAGAGGCCCAGTCGTCTGCCCTATGTCGCCTCCTCAACCGGTATTCAGTCGGCCTGGCACTTTTGGCACCACTCTCGCGCTATGCGTGGCTGAGTGTATAACAAGAGACATTGCCGGGAAGGACACTACTAAGAGTCGTCAATATACATGCCAGACTAATGCTATATCATGGAGACTCGACGATATCATTAAGTAGCGGAAGCGTAGAGGAATATGCTCGACAACGCGAAGTCGACTAAATGTAATTGGGGAAGCAAAGAAGGCCCAACAGCATGGTTTTCCAACACAGTTTTGCTTTCTGCTACCATGTTCTCTAGTCATATGCTTTTGCAATTTAACTTAGATAGAGATCAATATCAAATGTTATTACTGACGTATCGGGGCTTGAAGGATGCATCGATGCCATCAAAACCATTGCACCAAGCAAGTTCAAGCTAGCAAACATGCTCACGTTTTCCATCTCCCTCCAAAGAATCGAACTAAACAGCCGTATCTCCACAAAAGAAACCTCTGTGTTATCCAAAAGGCCTGTGTTCAGCTCCTCGACTGGGGGAGTTATGTCTCTGGCACATCCAAGACTTGGGTGCCATTTTTGTCCATCTATCCATCTCACCTCTATGCAATTCATCAGACAACATTTGATGATCCCATAATCTTCCCAGCGAGAGCCAAGCTGCTCCAATTCGCTCCACAACTTGTCATCGTCGTCCATCCAGTCACGATAGCCTCTCAACATGTTTGCTGCAACTATATGCCTTTCCGTCTCTGCAAATTTGATTGCTCGCATATATTGCAGTCGGCCCCTCCCACCTGTTCCAGCTCCCACACTCAAGAGGAAGTGGATCATGTCTATCCTCCCATGCTCAGCCGCGCCTTCCAAAGCTGTTCTTCCGTTTTTGAGAGCACGAGGTGCGTCAACATCAGCCCCCATCTCTATCAACATCTTTGCAATTCAAATTCGTCCTGTGATCGCCGCTAGCTGTAGAGCCGTTGCACCGGCCTGGTCTGCGGCCGGTGCGTTGATGTCAGCGCCTGCGCTGAGGAGATCGATTGTAGTGAGATTTCCGCCTTCAACAGCCTGCTGTAACGGGCTTCTTCCTCTACGACAGTTCATATAAGTCATCTTAGAAAAGTGATCGTTTCTTACGGGTTTCAGCTCTCCGTCAACCATGGCAAGGAACAACAGATTCTTGTCCTTCTGGTGTTCTGGTTGAGCGTCAAGCCCGGGCGAGAACAGTCGAATTTCGAGGATCTCCTCGCTATCGACGTTGAGGACAACTTGAATCAAGTGCTCCTTAGGGCGGTATCCGAGCTTTTCAAGCTTCAACTTGAACTGTGATGACTCAAGTATGAAGAAGAGTGGCCTGGTAAGGTAGGGATGTTTGTTATGCCAGAATGGTAGGTTTCTTCCTCCTGCTGTCCATTCATAGAGAGCTTGTTGAATCCTTCCATCCCAAATACCGATGGCTGCAATTGGCGTCCCAATCTGGCCGCAGAGTATTCTGAGTAGTTGCCTTTCACCATTGAGAATAGCTAGGCCGATGGCTGTTCCTTCTAATGATGATGGGCTTTCAAAGTTTTGACGGTTCTGTAAAAGCCTCTGGAGAAATTTCGTGCATTTGTGCTCTGATGCGAAGAGAATAGCAGTACAAGGGCGAATCCGTCGTATGCTTCGGGATTCCTCTCGAACACGTGATTTATAATGGAGTCGGATCCCGAGAGAAACGCCGCTTCGAGCATAGACATGTCGTTGTTTTTCTGCGCGCTTCCATAAGAACCATGGTACAAAATAGTCTCGACAAGACTCCAGCTGTCCAGAAACATTGCTAGGTGAGCCTCGCCACCCATCATAGAAGGACCAGCGCTCAGAACTTCGAAACAGAGCTCCACTACGTGGTCTTGCATCGAAGGTTGAAGACGAAGGGGGACTTGCCCCTAAGGTCGAAGACTCAGGTCTTTGTCTCTGAGAGGCAATGAGAGCAAAGTATGTAGCAGTTTCTCCTTGTTCTAGTCCAGCCAGTTGATGTTGGCCTGAGAAATTTCTGCCAAGGCAACATTGACCAAGCCGATCTCACGAACCGTGTAGGCGCCATGGTATACAGCCCACCCAGGCAGTCTGGCACCATGCTTTGCTAGGTATGTGTACACTGCATTATTCCAGTGATGCCCCAGAATCGCGGCACCTGCTGGGTTGATGGAGTTACCCCCCAATTGGCGAACTGCATGCGAATCTCGCCATGCGAGAAGGTGAAAATAGGATATCCAGGCCTGGGTTATCCAGAAATCGTCATTGGCCTCGAAAACCAGGCTGGTGTTGAGATCAGCTCTTGTCCAATGTAGAAGTTTGACGACATCCTCGCAGCCGCCCAAAGCTGCAAAGATGATAGGGGACGGAACCTTGTTCGACAGTTCTGGTCCGTCTACCAAAGAGCCGTGATCAAGAAGCCACTTGCAGGCTCAGTAATGCCCTGCAGATGCAGCGACGTGCAAGGCAGTGAACCCATTGCTTTCAGCACCAGTAATGTCATACCCAATCTGATGAAGGTATTCGAGCACCAAGACGTGACCCTTCGAGGAAGCTTCCATGACAACGTCCAACTCAAAAAATTCCGATAATGGCGTTGATGGGCATGTTGAATGCGCATGTTCCGTCAAAAGCTTGATGAGTTCCATCGCCCTCGCTTCCTCCCAGGAGGCGGCTGCGTACCCGAGTACGCTAGCTTTTTTGATAGGAGTAATAGTATGGGAGAGTAAAGAGTGACCGGTAACATAAGAACTCCACAAGACGTTGGCTCCAGACTGGATCAGTATGTCAGCCGCAGTCAGACTACCGCGCCAAACAGCGAGCATCAAAGCCGATTCCCCCTGATGATCTTCGTCCAAGGGGAGGCCAGAATCTGCGAGTCGCTTGAAGACTGCAGCCATCTTTCCATCGAGGTCAAAATCAGGGAATCGGCCGTATTTGCCGCCCAGAGCTTTGTGGAACCCTGTGTATGAAAAGGCTGGATCAGCACCTGCATCCAGCAGCTGAAGCGCGAGGTCCGGGTCATTAAGCGACAAAGCAATTCCCAGTGGTGTATCAGGGTCTGGAGCCCAATGCCCCCCGATATGTATGTCTGGACTTTGCCCCAAGGACAGCAGCCAAAGCACAACCTTCTTCATTCTTGCTTTCTCGGCCTCCACTAAACTTTTGCGCCTCAACCTCAAGTCGAATTCGGAATCCGGCAAATCGAAGTACAACAAGTCCATCCCCGATCCTGGCGAGGAGCCTCCAGTCAGTTCAATAATCACAAGCATTGCCATCCGGAAGAACTTCTCAGCAAACGCATTGATTGTTGGACCTGCGGGTTTCCCAGCTGAGAGTTCCAAACTCATGATGCCTGAGTCTTCGAGCATATTGACTGTCCTCATCCAACAGAGGAGGCCGTTCGAGGTTTCGGAAAATCACATGTTATTCGAAATCCGGTAAATAAGGAATTTATAATGTTCGGTAATCGTCAAGTGTGTAGGAGCTTGGAGGAGGACTCGTGCCAAACTGGCATTCTCGCCATCTTGCCCCTCAGGCATCATCGAAGCAAGTTGGGCAGTGAGGACAGCCGCGCTTGGTTCTACACTTGAATTTGGCAGATTAGTTCTCTCGAAGATGTCGAGACATGCGGGGAATCTTCGTAAATTTCTGCCGGACCGAATTGTCATGTATTCCCCGCGAACTCGAAGCGCTGTGAGAAATGTTAATACAGCGAACACTAGGTACCAGTGCCGAGCTTTTCTTACACTCTGGAAACTTGATCTGAAATTCCAGCCAAGGAAGGCTTCTTGGCCAGACAAATTTCATATAGCGCGCTGCTGGCGTACCTACGGTGATATTGAATCCGGGAGGAGTCGGGAGACTGGTAGATCCTAATTGTAGAAGTGTTGAGCGAGGATTCCTTTTTTCTCAGAAAAATAATAAGTAAAAAAAAGTGGTGCATGCCCCTACCTTGCTGATATTTCACCAGAGAAGTTCTCTGATGTCGAACTCTCTCCTTTCTGACCTTGGCTGGCTCGACCACTTTGCCATCGTGGATGACTTCGCTGAGTTTGCCTTGCTTCTCCCGCTTGGAAAGGCGACCATCGACAAATTGCCACAAGATCTCGGCCTTGTTCTTTGGGATTCTTTTGCGAAGACCCCAGAACTTCAGCTTGTACTCAAGCTGCGATTTCCTGAGACGTGTGATATGAGAAGCCGAAGATGGAGAGACCGCTGTGCTGACTTACGTTACACGAAAGCCGTCTTCTTCGAGTTTTCGCATAATGTCGCTGAACGAAGCTGATTCTTTCAGAAACATGCGCTGGATTGTAGCTCGATGCTGGCGCCACTCTTCGTCCGAGTAACGCTTCCTGGAGGATGACATTTTGGTAAAGTTGAGATTTGTCGCTTGTTCTAGCGTCTCCCGGCTGTTGATGTCTACTGCTATCATATACAGGTTTCAGTCTGGATGGAAGCAGAGGAGTTACAGAGGGGGAGGAAAAGTGTGGGAGACGGAGCCTTGTAATATATACCAGGGAGCTTAGAATAACTGCACCACAGGACATCTAGCCATGATTGGCTGAGGCCGATATCTGAAAAGTAGTTCAAGCTGACAGCATCGAATAAGATGTCATTGGCCAGGGCCGAAGTCTGAAAGCCCATCATTGGTGATCAGCCACTGACCAATTCTCGGCGTGCATATGCACCAACATAGCCCAACGTGGATGAGCTCCCTGTCGAATATCAGAAATGATTGGATGTGGCCAGTGTCTGAAAACACGACCGCAGCTTCATGTTACACACGGAATCTATCGTGGCAGGCGAAAGCCTTACGTCTATTCATGGGGAGATCCTTCGGGGCAATCCATTGGCCCAAGCCGGAGTCTTTAAACTCGATACTAGAAGCGGGATACACCCCTGGCCTGTGTAACCGTAAAGTGCTTAATTCGTCCAGGTAGAAAGCCGAAAGTCACAGGTACCTCAAGAACGGCGTCTGTAAACAAGACCACCAAGGCTCATGGTCCTGAGTATAAGATGTCAGCGTGGAGGACGCTTTACGGTGTCTTTCCCCAGATGAACTCTCACTACTCAGACTTCGCATAATCTGTACCCAGCAATTAGTCCAGCATATGACCCCTTTTCCTTGAAGGAACACAGATACTCGCCTTGTCAAATCGCAACTCTTACACGCCACATGCCATGGAAATGACCCTCGAGGCCATCATTGCTATCGTGGCCCTGGTCGTGGGGTTACCACCTACGTGTTTCATCATCTGGAAATCCTGCATTCGCAAGAGACAAAAGCTGAGGCAGGGTAGGAAATAGCCCGTTTCCAATGCCCTGGCCAGACACACGCTAATATAAAGGAGCCAGCTATAATTTCATTACATCGACGTCACACGATCACTCCGAACCGCCCTCCTCATTACGAGCAACCTCCATGGTCAGCACCAGGCTCCATCTGGAGATCTCGGACGATCATTGCCTTCGAAACGGAAATGAACAGGTCTCCTAGTGACGAATCTGCTTCAAGACAAGGCTGGCCGACGGGCAACTATACCTTTCATCATTTGGGAGGCCATCATGTTTAAGCCACGGGAAGCGAAGTGCTAGACGGCTTTGGAGATCTTCTTCGCAAGACCCGAATATGAGGGACTTGGCTTACAATCTCTAGTCATCTTTTTGTTTGTCTTTGAGATGTGCATAGGCGGCGACTGCATAGACGGCGGTGAAGATGGGGGATAATGACAAAAGAGAAACATGTACAAAACCTGGAACATAAGGAGTATTTCCTTGACCTTGAAAACAAAAGATTTGATAGCACAACCTGGTTTCGATCCAGGGACCTCTGGGTTATGAGCCCAGCGCTCTACCCCTGAGCTATTGTGCTTATGCTTATGTTGCTTGATGAGGATTGAGCCCACTGATTCTGTTCAAGAAGGGTCAGTGTGGAGAGTGAGTCATTCTTTTGCAAATTTTCTTTGGCCTCTTCTCCGCTGTGGAAACATGAAAATCAAAGCCGAAAGGGTTGGCGACGAGGACGCGGAGACAGAATGGGGCGGACGGAAGAGAGGGTCTCGTGAGATTGCATCGTGTGAGGCCAAAAAGCGTTCGCGGGGGGGGGGGGGGTATCGCCTCCACATCCTCCACCCAAGCTTGAGCCAGAAATCCCCCGGACGAGAGTATAACGACATCAATAGATAGTATTACAACAGACGCTTTCAATCATCGAACCCCTCAAACTCATCGTCCTTCCCGCCAGCCGCCGCCGTGGCCTGGTTCTTTTTCCTAATCTCCGCAATCATCTCATTCAGCTCCATCGCCTTGATCTTCTCGTCCTCTGTCATGGTAGACATCCGTTCGGACTCTCTCTTACGTCTCCTCTTATCGCGGCGCTCCACCCGCACGTCGTCTCTCTCCGTCTGCTTGCTCCACGCCTCGTTGGTCTTGCGCTTGCGCTTCACCTCGTCCGCGGCAGCTGCCTTCTCGCCGTTGCGCTCCGCCTCCGCCGCTGCTAGTCGTGCCGCCTCTCTCGTCTTGTCCTGGTACGTGAAATTCTCCCAGTCAAAGTCCTCGTTGCCGAGCCACTTGTCTCCCTCCCAGTTCTTCGTCTCGGGCATGCGCGGCAGACGGAGCAAACCCCATGCCTTTCCGAGGTCGGCCCAGTCGAGGTCCTTGACGCGGAAGATGGAGGTTGTCAGGTGAGCGTTGTAGCTGCGCACCCAGCTCACGAAGGCTCGTTGCGCCTTGTCGTGGTAGGCGCGGTCGCTACGGAGGACGTCGCGGAACTTTTCTGACGCCTCGTTGGCTTCCTCTTCGGTGATCGTGATCTCGGGTTTCGTCAGGGGGAAGATGGGCGTCTTGCGGACTTCGAGGAAGGGAATGTAGTCCTCTTCGTGGCCGGGCTGCAGGAAAACCACTGACAGTCCCTTTCTGCCTGCTCTTCCAGCACGTCCGCTCCTGTGGATGAAGACCTTGGGATCTGAAGGAGGATCGACCTGGCAGACAAAGTCTACCTGTGGGATGTCGAGACCTCTTGCCGCGATATCGGTGCACAGCAACACGGATGGTGATACTGAGTTTACAAACTTGTTGAAGCTCTTCTCTCTTGCCTTGGGAGGCAGCTTCCCGTGCAGGGGCACGAGTGTGAAGCCTTCCGGCATGATGGTGGGGAGGACGTGTTGGAAGTAGTCGACAGCAGCGCAAGACGACAAGAAGACGATGCTGCGCTGTGGCCGAGGGTTAAGGTTCTCGAGGATCTTGCTCAGTGCTGGGAGCTTCTGGCTGGCTGGCGTGACGAGGTATGACATTTGCAGACTGATTGGCGTTTTCCGGTCCTCGATGATTCCTCCGTCCCTTAAGCTCTTCACGCGCACGGCAATCTTGACTGGGTTTCTCAGACCAACAGTGATGATCTGTGACACTGCCTCCGAGACAGAAGCGCTGAACAAGCCTGTCCTTCTCTGCTTCGGCAGGTATCCCAGAATCCTCTGGATGTCCTGCTTGAAACCCATATCCAAAAGACGGTCCGCCTCGTCGAGAACCAGCATTTCGAAAGTGGCAGATGTGCAGTGGACATGCGGGGACGCGAGAAGCTCAACAAGTCTACCCGGTGTCGAGACCAAGATGTTGGGCGCATGTCTGACAAAGTAGCTGAGATCTTGCTGTGTGGTAGTCACTCCGCCGACGAGCAACTGAGGGACGATAACCGGCACCGTCGTATCGGGGCGCTTGTCGTCTTCCTTGAGGTGGGGCAGGATCTCGGCGGACGGGGGGTGGAAGCCGACGAGTGACTGGAGGACGGTATGGATCTGAATAGCGAGTTCGCGGGTCGGGGAGACGATGATGGAGAACACATGGCCACGCTTCGTGGGTTCGGAGAGGCGCATGAGCTTCTGGACGATCGGGAGGAGGAAGGCAAGCGTTTTACCACTGCCGGTGACAGCCTGGGACAGTCAGTATTCGTATTTGGTAGGATAGCTGGTGTCGTCTTTACCTCGACTACGACGTCCTTGTTTCCAAGGAACTGCGGCAGACATGCTGCTTGGACGGGCGTCATGCGCTGAAAGCCTTGGCTGGACACGAAGTCGAGGATCCATCTGCGCGAATGTCAGTGGGATGCGTGAGTGGAAGCAGAGTGTTGGGAGATCGTACTCAGCCAGAGGAGGCGTGAGGCCTCTCCAGGCCCTAGGGTCCTTCTTCTTCTCTTCGGGCGCCATGGTTCAATTGGTCGGGGGCAAATATCGAAAGGACGTCAAGCAAAGCGAGGATTTGCGCCGGCATGCGACTTCAATACCGTCCAAGCCGGAGGGGCTTGATTTCCAGAAACTTTTTTTCGTTATCGTTATCGATATGTTGCTATCTTATCTTATCAGAGGGTGGGTGTACTCACGTGGGGCAGTGACAGCATTCGAGGCCTCCTTGGCGCCATTGTCTCTGTCCTACCGCCCACGGACAAAGACAGTGTGATATCATCCCGACTGACCCCCAACCGTCCTCAGCCACTCGCCTTGACATCCCGCCCAAAACTTCCAGCCCGTTTTTGCAAGTGCACCACAATTCAGCGGTCTGGAAATCAAGGAAGAAGCACAGTTGCATGTCTCTTGTCACTTTGTGCACGTACCGAGTACAGGCTGCCTACATAGGGCAGCTCGGCAGCGGAGAGACGGGACGAAGTGCATCCACCGGTCGAACCCACCCGGCGCGCAGAGAAAGGAGGAGCCACGCCTGAGAAGGACATGGAACCGGCGGGACGGCCGGAGATGGCTTCACATGCTTGCAGCAATCAACGGCGTAGCGCAGCCCACTGAGGAGGGAACGAGAGGGGGGGGGGGGAGGGGGGAATCACCGCAGATTGAATCGTACCCTTAGAAAACCCCTGCCAAATGGACTTGGAGTGCAGCGGTGCGCCCGACAGGCCGGCCATTCCTGGGTAGTCGCGTGCACCGGACATTTTGGAGTGGGATTCGGGGCATAGGTCATTCGGGCCTCGGCACACTGTGTTGCGGCTTGGTTCAGACTGTGGTTCATCCTTGATTCTTGCCTGTGCTAATATCTCATGAGAACCCAAGAAACCGCAATGATTGATTGTTTAATTTCCATGTTGAAAATGGATGAACGAGAAACGGGAATTACATTTCTAACATCCCCAAGGGTCCCTAGAGAAAGTACCCCGAGGTCCTCAGGCACCGTAAATAACAACTTTGAGAGAGAGGTTAAGGCTCTCAGGTTCTACCAAAAGATAAGACGGCTTACCAAAGCAACAGTGCGGCCGGGGTCCCGAACACCGCTTGGATACGTCGCTGCAAGTACTCGGTACCTTGGCCCGCGAAAAATCCTCTCTCCCCGTCCCAGGAATCGGCAGATTCGCAGCACAACAAGACACCGACGATCCGGCCCAAACACCTCGTCCTTGAACACATGTCACGCTGCCTGCTGACCGACCGCATGTCTCCGTGGTCTTCTTCCCCCCCGTACCAACCCGGCTCAATATGCGGCGGAGTTGCTCTCTGCTGCATTCTCAAACATCACCCTGGATCCAATAGCCCAAACAGCCTCCATCCTCGAACCCCAGGCCCAGCAGCATAGCCATCAAAGGAATACCGGTAATCGCTGTTCACCGGCCGCACCCTTCACCATCTTCGATACCCACGCCCGCGCCGACTCCGCCTCCGTCTCTCCCGCCTTGGACCCCCACGACTCCCGTTTATCTAGAAGAGACAAGCATCTCCACTCCTCACTCTGGCCGCTGAGACGACTCTTCTTCCCCTTCCAACGCCTCTTCACGGGAGCTGTCGCTTGTCCTGCCCTCCCGCCTTTCCCTTACAACATGTCGTCCGTCCGCGCCATACCCTCCACCCCGCGGGTTATCTCCCCCAGCCCGACACCTTCAGAGATTGATGCAGCGTCACAAGATAACTACTTTGGCCCGGTGACGAGGTCTGCGGCGAAGAAGCGGCGGACAACCCCTCAGCCGCTGGAGGAACGGGCAGAGGAGGATGACTACGAGCCATCGACAATGCGTAGATCGCGCACGAGAAGTCGGTCGCCCATCGAGTCCCGCCGAATCACGCCCATGACCACGGTGAAGTCGCAGAGCAAGAGGGGCACATCGCCCATCATCCCGAGCGAACCGATCACGAACGAAGTCACCACCAACGGCGAAGCGAACGGCGAAGCGAACGGCGAAGCGAACGGCAACGCCAAAGCTACGACCGCCAATGGCCATCTGGCCCCTCCCTCTGCCGCTCCTACGGGATGGAGCTGGCGCGATTTCAGTCGAAGCCCGAGTCCGCTGGGCTTGATACCGATTCACAGGAAGTGGCGGACTTTTGTACACAAGCACGAGGTGCCCAGGAAGATCTTGCACGTCTCGATCGGTTTCTTCACGCTGTGGCTCTACGTCTCGGGTATTCAGACAAGCTCCGTCGCACCGTGGCTCTTTGCTGCGCTGATGCCCATCACGACCGCCGACTACCTCCGTCACAACTACGCCTCCTTCAACCGGTTCTACGTCTCGGTCCTCGGCGCGCTGATGCGCGAAAGCGAATATGCCGGATGGAACGGAGTCATCTGGTATCTGCTTGGCGCGTGGATTTCCATGCGCTTCATGCCCAAGGACGTCGGCGTGATGGCCATCCTCCTGCTCAGCTGGTGTGATACCGCCGCCAGCACCTTTGGACGCATGTACGGCGCTTACACCCCGCGCATCCGCCGCGGCAAGTCGCTCGCAGGCTCCACGGCCGCCTTCCTCGTCGGCGTCGCCTCTTCGTACTTCTTCTGGGGATGGCTCGCACCGAGGACGGGACCTTTCCCCGGTGACGAGAGTTATCCCTTCATGTTCACCGGAGCGCTGCATCTACCCCGCACCATCGCAAGCGCCGTGGGGCTTTCGGACGCTCAGGCTACCATCACCGGACCGCTAGCGCTCGGAGTCATGGGTCTGTGGTCTGGATTCGTGGCGGCCGCCAGTGAAGTGGTGGACATTTTTGGCTGGGACGATAACTTGACGATCCCGGTCCTCAGCGGGGCTGGTATTTGGGGATTTCTCAAAATCTTTGGCTAGACGGCGGGAACTCATGGGTTCGGCGGGGGAATTAGACGGGCGGGAAAGAACTTTGACTAGCTCACCGACGCTGCTAGTCCACCAAACGGCAATCAGGATCAATCAAGAAGAGAGAGAGGGGAGTCGGTGGTTGGGAAAAAAACGGCGCGTCCTCTGCCTCGTATAAACGGCTGGCAATGGCGTTCAACTTTGCATGATTAATCGGCGTTCATATCGTGTCCACTGGGATAAGAGGTGGGGGCGGGGCATGGTATGGCATGGCATGGCATGCGAGGACGGCCGGGACGAGGAAACATACCATCATCACGACAACGACGGGGTATCTTGTTCATCAAGTTTGTACACTTTTTTTTTCTTTTTGTTTGACGCGAATACAGGAAGGGAACGCCAGGTACGGAATCAAGGAAACGTACAGAGAGGACTAAACGTCCAAAGCCACGGGTATATAATGGTTAGCTGCTATTACAAGATAACGAAAAAAACATCAGAACTTTCCCCCTTCTTACAGTAGCTATTTGGCCTTTTCGCCTTTTCGCCTCTACTTGCTTTGCGGCCCCTCATCCTCTCCGTCGACCCCTCACTTTCACCCATCTGACATGCATCTGTATCGCGCGATGATACCGAGTACAAGGACAAGGCCCCGAAGAAGAGATTTCTAGTCAAGTCCTTGGGACCATCTAGGCGGTCAAACATCGTCACTGCCTTAGCGTCGTGGTGGAAAATGGCACAGAAGGATCGACCTCTTGGTGCGACTTGTGAGTTTGACCTTTGCGTCTTGGCCTTCCAATTTGACGTCGCAGAAGCAGTGAGTGGTGTGTGAGTGTGTGTGTGTGTGTGAGAGATTAGCCCTATCTCTGGAAGATGAGTATGAGATGTGAGTTCTGTGATCATCTTCACATCGCGCTGTCGTCACACTGCGGGCAGAACTATCACCAGCAAAGAACACTACATCATCATCACCAAATACTCCACGTCGGAACTGGGGCTGAGTGAAAACTGGGCTGACGGTCTGGCCTGTTTGACGCGGGCAGCTGCCTAGGCTGGGCGATGTCGTGCAGCTTTCGGATCTTTCGTTCACGAGTGCTTGTGTTTTTGCCTTGCCTTGTCATCCTCACCGAGTTGGTCCATCTTTAGGTCTCAGCCATTGGTATATTTTCCGAGGTAGGATGAGTACAGCATATGAGCAGCGTGGTCTTTTTCCAAGTCGAGTTCTACAAGAGTAGGAAAATATACGAGGCGGGATTGACGGGCGACACGACACGAGAGCGAGCTGTAGGCGTGTTGTGTGCGCATATGTGTATCCGTGAGAATTTGCGCGAATACAAGCGGCTTGGAGGAAACACACCACACATCACACATCAATTTTTTGAACCGTCGGCTGAATATAGATTGACCTTACACGACGGTCGATCCGTGCAGGATACAGAAACCACGCGGTACTGCAGTGCCGCTGCGCTGCGCTGTGCCTCCCCGTCCTTCCTCATCCTCGTTCTCATGTCGCCTCACCTTACATACAGAAGGCGTTGTGCGTGGCTGTATTCTGCATTCTCACACTTACGTTGTGTGTATGAGGCTTGAAGGTCTCTCTATGGCGGAGAAGAAATCTTGGCTTGGCCGAGGATGAACGATGTGATTAGAGAATCTATCCATGGCTGACGATGATAAAAGCGTGAGAGTTGGGAGATGCAGAGGGGCATGCGAGTGTATCTGCAGGATGGGCGAGGGCTCGCGGATGGCGTCGATGGGAGGCGAGTGAGTAGTGACATGGGGGATTGGGGGATTGAGGAGATACAACGACAATGTAACGTCAACAATCTCCAAGAACATTGACCAAAAAAAAACTAAAAAAAACTGAAGGGCGATCGAAGAAAGGTTTGGTTGGTTGGTCAGTGGCCCAGCTCGCCTTTTCCTCCGAGTCCTCAAAAGTCTCGTTATCCAGTAAGGTGGTGCCCCATCATCAAGCAGCCCTGTTTGACTGCATCTGCATCTCCGCTCCTCACGTTTCCCGGTTCATGCCATGGCATGTTACCGTGCAGCATTGGGAAGGGCAGGCCAGGCAGAAAAAAAACCAACAAAAAAAAACCAACGATGGTCTCGGATAGGTGAGTAGGCGGGATGTGCAATGTTGCGTGTGGCTGTCCCACCACCCCCCCCCCCCCTCCCCTCGTGTGTCTCTTTTGAGATACCCTATTCCCATGTGGCCGCCCCCCCCCCCCCCCGGAACATGACATATCCATACTTATCCATTACTGTAAGAGGAGCAAGGGCACCGGCGATTGCCGTGTTGGTTCGGAGTCCCGTGTTCAACTTTCGAGTTTACAATGTCACCCCATTTTCTTCGCAACTGCGGGAGTTTGATAAGTCTCAAAAAAGTTCGAAGGAAGAAACGAGAGGTCTAGAAGCGCAAATGGTTTAAGAAAAGTGAAAAAAGAAGGTTTGGTGGGCACGTTTTCCGTGGCACAGACCGTTTTTTTTTTTTTCGTTTCACGCGTCAGATCAGCGGTCGTCACCGCTCAGTCTCATCTCACAAATTCTCAGTGAGATTCTTCTCAGTCTCACACCTCACACCTCACTCCTCACTCCTCAACCCTCACTCCACGCCCGTCAAGACACGCAAGTAAGTACATCGCCGGATGAGGGGGGAAGGGTTCGAGCCTCACAACCGAAGCATTGGCTCTCTTACACTCTCCCACGGCGCAGTTTTCCCCATGCAAACCCCAAGGCCCCGTGTCCATTACCAGACGAGATCTCGACCTATGGGCGATACCTCACATTCCTAACCCTTGCTGGCCTGCTGGAGGGACTGGGGTACACTACCTAGCCTGGATAGCTCATCCATCACCTTAACCTTTGCGACTACCGCCCCAACGTGACTATTGGCGCCATGACTGTCACTCAAAGTCCCTACTGCAACACTAGCCGGCTAGTCGAGTTCGAGAATGGTCGTCGTCGAGGACGTGCCGACTTCTCTCTTGGTATTTTGGCGAGCAAAGTGTCTAAAGGTGTGCCTGTCTGGAGGTGAGTGCCGTTGGAGTGCGTGCAGATAGAGAGACAAGCCATTCATTCATTCATTGCCCCTCCCCCCCCCATTGACATTCCCGCACCAAGAAAATTCCCGGACCTCCCTTCGTCCTCTAGCCTCTAGACCAGGAAAATTGTCTGCTTGCGCGCCAGTATGCTACGATTTTTCTTTCTTTTTTTCCCTTCTGCCATGCGGTAAGTTCAAACGTCAGATGGCTGCTGGGGTGATCCCGGGGCTTCTTTCTCATGCAGTCCCGTATCCCCCTCCATTCACAAACCACCGCTCGGGGGATTCCAGAACGCCGTTCGTCCTCCGGGGGACACCTTGCGTGGGGCATCTCGGGTCCTTGCCGGTGTCGAGGAGGGACGAAGAGGCAGACCGGCGAACCGTGGGTTTGAAGATGGGGGGAAACAGTTGGTCATGCCATGGGTCAAGGCAAACCCCGTTGCGTTGAGCGGGTTCATGGACCAGACTGAATTGATCACTCAGGAGTCAGTGAGCAGTTGGTCGTTTGTCTGTCACGCCCACATCAAGCCCCCCCCCCCCCTCCTGCGGCGCGCCGTATGGCATTACATGTCTTCAACCTGACGATCCCACTCACACGGGAGGCGACTGAGAGCGACTTTCACGTCGGAGGGCTTGAATACCTGAGTGATACTTGGATATCAACGGGTTGAAAACAGGTATCCTGTGTATCATGTAGCCAGGTAAACAGGAATGCCTCGTTGGCTGCCTTGCCATGCTCATAATCATCGTTGCATTTGGGGTTCCACCCCCCGGTACATGGAACCCAGTTTGCCGATTCCTAATAAACCACCCGAAATTATTATTTTTTCAAACAGAAAATCATCAATGTTCGACCCATCTAAGTTTAAAGCGTATCGTAGCACACGGCGCACGGAATTGCAGAACCACACGGGCAGCAAAAACGAGAAGATGCCCACAGAAGCAGACGCATGCTCAGGGAATGGGGTGACGCGAAGCCAATGCGCCGCTAGATCAGATCGGAAAAGGGCGCGCCGTCATTCGATTGCACTCTTCAAAGTTCTTCTGCAACTCATGACATTAGGCAGACAGAAGTGTAGGGCTTTTGTGTGGTCGTTGGGTTGATGATGATGATGGAAGCGTCCCTTTCGATTGGGCTGTTTTGGGGTCTCTTTGGGTACCTTTGCGTGTAAGGTCGACTTTGGGCTGCCTCTCTGCCTCAACTAGTACGAATACTCTCACTCACCCAACTCTTTGGGTGCAAACTGGAACCAACTTTTGTCAACCGTTACCGGGCCGGCTGACGATGACGACGGAAACTCGGGAAGGGGAGGGGAGGGAGGCCACTCACTTACACCGCCGCTCTTGGAACTGCGGATGTAAGATCTGCCCAGGTTGCCCGCGTTCTTACACTTCCCAACGCGCAAGCGCAAGCGCAAGCGAAGCAAAGCAAAGCAAAGCAAAGCACAACATACAATTCTCAAAGAAGACGGGGCTTGTATTCTCAAGAAACGCAATTTCGTTTCCAGAGATCACATGCGATGCACCTCGTAGAGAAAGCTCCGCCTTTGCGCATACATACATGCCTCACATACATGCTGCTGCTGCTCCTGCGTATGATGGGGAGGGGCCCTCTAGTGTAGGCTCTTGGAGATGCACTCACTCCCCCACCCTTGAGGAGAAAGAGAAAGACACATACGGAGTAGAGAGATGGGAAAAGGGAATCGTCGCATCGGTGATTGAGGTTCGGCGGGGGCGAATTTCCAACGAGAGTCGGCGCCGCTTTTCAACATTCATCGCCAATGGGACATTGTGAAAACATGTCGATTAAGCCGACCATTTGCTGGCCCCCTCACCCCCCGTCAAACGTCTCTACTCCGTAGACTCTGCATCTTGAGTGCATCTTGGACGGAGCCAGGGCGTGCCAGGGCGTGCCAGGGTCATAGGGTGGGATTACAGGGGTCATGATGAGCCCTGCCGGAGCCCTGGACGATTTGCCCAGTTCAGGTAGATTCTGGAAGTCGTCCGGCTTTTGCACCAATCGAAACTCTGAAAAATGACAATAATTCGAGTCAATCAGAAGCGGTAAAAGTAGACGGTGTGGGCGAGATTGGGAGGGGAAGACTCGGGAGAGGGAGCAAAAAGACTCTCAAAGGCCCAATGGGGGCGGCGAGAAGTCCCGGCCAATGGTAAAAAAGCCGGAATAAAGTAAGTTGAACTCGAAAAGGGAAAAAGGTACTTGCAGGGGGGAGGGGGGAAGAGAATTAAATAATAAATAAAAATAACAATTAAATGGAAAAAACTGAAAAAATATTGTATCCTGCGCTTCCATGTTGACAACGCATCACCACATAAAATGCCCGAATCTACTGCACTTCTGCCTGACCTGACGCTACAGGGTTAAATCACAGAATACCTTCTATTCTCCAGTCGCATTCGCACATTGTTTAAACGGCAACATCACCGTTTTTAGAGACTATAGTACCTACAGATACGTTTGACTGGGGGGGGACCTTTTTCTGCCCGAGAAACGATCAGCATGGGGGGCATTTCTTTATCCCGCAGTCCACCCCGTCCCCGATTCTATCAAGAAGGTGGCTCCCACAGTCCAACGAGACGACGACACGAGCTGCGTGGGAGTGGACAATCCCACGCTGCTTTTAATGATCAGTCCTCAAGAAGCTGCTTGGCTTGCATGCTCGGTACATGTATCGCATTGTCCATATGTTGTATTGTACCGCCGTGCCTGAACTATGCGTCGTGGTGTCGTTGAAGACGTCGACATCAAGACCATATACCTCGGGTTGGAAGATACCTCGAGGAACGCCAGGTTCGTTCGCAATTGCGAACGAACAGCAAACGGAAGAGGAGAAGTGTCCCCTCTCCCTCACCCCCGGCCGGGCTTTGCCCCCGTTACATTCCCATTCCAATCTTGTCTCCCAATCTTTTGCTGGCCTGTTCTCCATCCCGCCCTGCCCTGCCCTATCCAAACCTCTTAGCTCTCGATATTCACCTATCCTGACCTATCCCCTTTCATCCCATCCCATCCCAACCCATCCTCACCCTCGCCAGCCCGGCACGCTCGTTGGATCAGAGTTTCGATCAACGGCGGGCCCCGTCTCGTTTCCCCCGTAGTCCCGGCTTTCCTTAATCGTCCTGACGTCTGTCCATCTTTCACAACCCCCAAGTTGCCTTCGTCTGCATCTCTGGCGTGTATCCATTTTACCGCCCCCCTCTTCCTCCTGGACACCGCATCTGTCACGAATCAGAACCATACCGTGGCCCCTCTCCGAAAGGTTGAAAGGCCGGTTCGTCTTGCATCTGACTGGGCCGATAAAATACATACGACCCGCATGGCCCTCCGTCATACGCCTTTCTTGCCTCCCATCTACGGCCATGGCGTGTGTTCCTGTCCGCCAGAAGGAGACGTCGTCGTTGGATTCCGGGGGGGGGGGGGGGGGAGGGTGTGACTGCCCTTGACCAACGTCTTGTATGCCTTCCGGACTCTACACTTCTAGACTCTACACGCACCTCTTACACCCACACCTTCTTTCCCACACCTCGGCCCCTTTTGGAGCTAAAGCACCTTCTACCCTTCTTGACACCGCACGGGCGTGGACGGAAGGGAGGGAGGGAGGAGGAGGAAGAGGAGGAGGGGGGGACCCACCCCAAGCAACCACGCAGCCCAAGGTTGAAGGAACACCTCCACGCCATGGACGTGGACTGTAGACGTCCGTCCCTGCCCACAGAGCCCCATGCCCCTGGCTTGCAGGTTGCAGCCATTCCATCCTTGCCTCTAGTCGGTAAAAATGAGTAAGGTAGTGCGGAAATACTTTCGAGGTTGTACCTCCCTTGTCATCAGGTGGGTGGTTCGGCAATGTCTGGAACTGCATGTCTCTTGGTTCGCCGTTTTACACGACATGCATCGTTTTCTTCCCTTTGCCTGAACCCACATACATCTCTTTCTATGTCTTGTCTTATCTTGTCTTTTTTGTCCTCCCGGCCTGCTCTTCGCCAACCTACGCCGGCCAAGTCCGTGCCCCCTTGAGTTTACCGTACAGTTCTCTTCTTTCGATTCTCCGTCAGTATTGACCCTGGCTACCAAAAGTATTTGGCATCTTTCGTCTGGATATTCCAGACTCCAGAGACAGATCCATTACCCGTTCCGGGCTGTCCACACCCCATCCTCTCCATCGTGGTCTATCTCCACCAATCCCACCCATGATAGTCGCCTCCCTCGGCATATACAGACACCTCTTGCTCCTTTCCTCTCAGTCCATTTCTTTGCCTTTGATACTTGCCGTGTTTTTTTTCCCTCTTTTTTACTTTGCTCTTGTGCAGACGTAGTAGCAATCTGCTTTCCCTGCTTCTCCCTGGTTGGCCAATGGCTCCGTCCATCACCCTCCCACCACCGTCGTACGTCTGCCACCCCTTCCAATGCCCACACCCTCAACATCCAAACGCCTCATCGTCGTTGGATATCTCTCTCTTTTTTCTCTTTTGTCTCCTCTCTTTCTCCACGGTCCATATATCCACACGAGCAAGTGTTGCGGGTGAAGACAGGGTTTAGTCTATGCCACTTCCCTGTCACTAACGCACAAGCTAGACCAGGCCCAGGCAGGTCGACCGGCTGCCGCTCATCATGGTCCATGTCAAGGTCCATGTCCATGTCCATGGTGGACGTTGTTGTCTGCGACCCTTTTGGCCGCTCTCTCTCTCTCTCTCTCTCTCTCTCTCTCTCTCTCTCTCTCATCATCCCATCACATCATGCCCTTGGACCATTCCGTCTGTTCCCCCTTCCGCGGAAGGAGACCCGGTTAATGATGAAGCCACGGCTTGTCATCGGACGAATCGAGGCTTGATGTCTTATCCCCCTTCCAAACAGACGAAGAAATGGAGTCCGAGGAGGGTCTCGGAAAAGTATAAAAGGGCACAACTTGAGCGGGTTGATTTTATTCACTTCTTCTTCCTTTCTCATCATCAGATTCTGGACTATCTTGAAGCTTCCATATAGCTTCTCCAAGCCATCTTCTTTGCCCAACAAGCAACTTCCTTGCACACTTTACTCTGTCTCACAGAGTGCCGCCATCCCCAGTCGACACTTGGACTTAGTCATCCCTTGTTTGCTTCAAACAAGTTCCCACATCGTACACAAGTACACGTCACGCCTCTATCGTCAACTACCGGCCTCCACCTCTTCCCGTGCCATCATGTCTTCCCACTACAACTCCCACTACACCCTCCCCTTGCCCGTCCCCTCTCACAAGGGCCAACACTACCCAAGCTACAGCAGCACCTACTCAGTATCGCCTCCAGAGACAGATGAGTCCGTCAGCTCTGGCACCGGCCCATCATACAGCAACAGTGGCTACTCTGGCGGCTACTCGGTGGCCAATTCCAGCTACGCCGGAAGCAACAGCGGTGACTACGAGAGCACCCACCACTCGGCCAGCGGAGTCGACTTCAACGACTACATGCAGGACCGCTTCGCCCAGACCTTTGACCCCATCCCCCTCGACCGCAACATTGCGGTCCAGGCGCAAACGTAAGTTGTTTCCTCTTTCGCATGCGGCGTGGCGCATCCCCCATGCGGCAGCGAAACGGAACAAGAGGCTAACGAGAGGAAACGCAAAAAATAGATCCGGAAAGCTCAACGCAAAGCACCGTGAGCTGCTGGAGCTGCAAAAGAAGGCACAGGCTCGTCTCGCAAAGACGCGCGAGCGCTTCAACGAGGGTTACCGCGACGCTCAGGACGTGCGCGCGGACCTCGAGTGGACGCAGAAGAAAGTCTCGTAAGTGGCACCCTTTTTTTTTTCCCTCCTCCCCCATTGCCTCTTCCCGGGACTCCGAGACGAGAAGAGCCGCGCAATCAATTTGTCTCCGAGAAAAAGGAAAAGAGAGACAATATCTGCAGGACCGCGATCCTAGAAGTTTCCCCGCGAACCAGTGGGGAAATATCTAAACCGGATTGCTGGTCCGATTGCATTGCGACTACAACATTGGCGTCGGAAAAGGAAATCTTTTGGGGGGGGGGGGGTAAAATCTACGAGATCTGAGACATTGCGGCTAACACGCGGACCTCTTTTTGTGCAGATCGCTCAAGAGCAAGACTTCTCGCAAGCACACCAAGGAGTACAACAAGGCCCGCGCTCGCTACCCGTCGCCCGAGTACTAGAGAATTTCTTGGTACTCTGGGTGTTGGCTGCGGATTGAGTTGCGAAAGCTTCTCAGCCGCGCGATACCGACGACGTTGAAGCAAGCAGCGAGCTTCTCCTTTTTTTCAGCCTTGTGTTTTTCTAGCGTCCCATTTTCAACTGCGACCAAAGAAAAAAGTTCTAGCCTGCCGTCACCACCATTTTACTACTACCACACAAAAACGCACGACATACACACATCCCTGCCGACAAAACTGCAGGAACGAAGATACCAGATTCCCGGAGATTTACTTTGCATTTGATTTTTTTGGATGAGCGCACGCCTCCCTCCATCTCCGCTTGTTTACTTACCAATTTTTTTTTCTTGGGTACATATTGGGCTGGCAAGGGAGGGGAAGAGGAGACAGGGGCCCTAGAGGAACCTGACAGCCGGGACGGCTTGACGCGCAGCGGCACGGCGCGGGGCGAGCATGGGGGGGCCCGCCTAGCCGCCCATCTCACGCTGCTTTTGCGACGGGCAGGGCGGCGGACCTGCGAGCTGCGAGCTGGAGCAGGGTCGAGAGAATGAGAGTGGGTTGGATGGGGAAGCATCATTCCCAAGCGCCCGGTAAACCTCCACTCACACACACATGCTCCAGCCAGTTTTCCCCCAGATTTGGCAAATGTGCCTGGCAGACGCAGGGCTGTGGGGTTCCGACCGACCTTCTTTTGACCTTTGCCCTTGAGAGAGAGAGAGAGAGGGGGGGGGGGATGTTTTTGTTGCACGAGATGATTATGAGATATGATTGGACGAATGGGAAATGATTTGGGGCGGCTACGTTGTTAAAAGTACACCTCACCCCCTCCTTCTGAGGGCGACGGGGCCAGGGCCAGTAGCCCGGGGGCTGCAGTAGCCGTTGGAAGGATCGCCAGGCCGTTGTAGAACGGCTCGGTGGAGGCGGGAGAGAGGAGACCAGGTGAGGTGAGGTACAAAATTGTTGGCATCTGTTGGAGGCGCTTGTCCTTTTCGGGGCGGTGGGATATTGCTCTTTCGGGAAGGATAACGACGGGGAGCTCGCGTGGGTCATATTCCTCTAACCCCTTGGTGGTTCTGTAGTGACGACAGGGTGTATTTCCGTCTCGATCCATAGTCATATCATAATCCCCTCTTGTTCGGTCGTGGTGGTCCTTAGCCGGGCTGCTGGTCCACGATATGTCCACCGTAACAGTACCGTCGTGATCCTTGATCCTCCGTAATGCCACCGTAAAGGTTCCCCCCCAGGCCTTGGCCAAGTCTTTGAGGGGGGGGGGGCTCCATATATCCAGTGATATATCATGTGATGGATGGGTCGTGATATCGCTCCCTGCCCTGTTTCCAGCCGGCCAGGGGGGTATCACGTGACATGGGTCGGTGAGGCAGTCGGTGAGTCGTATATCGATATGCCAAGTCGCGAGGTTGAGAAGCCGTCCAAGTGGAGGTGAGGTAAGCATGTCGATATGTGTTGACCACACACTCGATACTATGGTCCACACACCTCTCAGATGCCAACTCATTCAACATTGGTAGTCCATCGACATCAATCAAGCCGTCTGAGCTTGAGCTCCCCTCGCCAACCAAGTCCCCTTGGACAAGACTCCCGCTTTCTTCTCAAGCCTCTCCCACGGATTCTCATTCGATGCTGGGTCATAGTAGCCCTCCCACCAAGGCTTGCCATCATTCCTCTGTTGCTGCTGGTACCCTTGACGACCGCCACGCTGGTGCTGGTGCTGCTCGGGACGTTCCCTCGTCGGCATCGTCGTTGGAGCCGAGCCCATCTCCTTACCCCACGACGCGTCGGGCCGCTGGGGTAATGCCGATGATGTTGGAAGGGAAGAGAATGTTGACTGCGCTTGCGGTGCTGAGGTTCCGTCTTCCGGTGCCGTGCCGTCACCACCGCCGCGGGTGGTCAATTCGTCTATCAGACTTTGCGCGTGGGCGAGCGCCGGGGCGACGGTTGGGTCTGAGTAGAGATTCGCGCCGCCTTCTTCTGCATTCACATCTTCCCCGACGACAGTACCAGCACCGGCGGCGACAGCAGCGGTTCCGTCGTCTTCGTCGTCATCGTCGAGGGCAATCTCATCGGTATTGGCGGCGGGCGCGGCAGCAATATCGGTCGTCGACGGAGCAGCGCGTGGAGCGCGCGGGGCGAGTGCGGTCTGGTTCGCGCCGGTCGCGGAGGAGACGGCGTCGGTGCGGTGGTTGTGTTTGCGCTTCTTGGCGGCGGGCTGGGTCCCGAAGGAGGCGAAGCCCATGAAGGCTGCCATTTCGGGGTCGATTGCGAGGGAGTCGTCTTCGTCCATTGTAGGCGGTGTGGAGTGGGTGGGATTTCGGAGGAGAATCGCGCGTTGCTAGGACGGTGCTGTGTGAGGGTGCGATGACGTTGAAAAAGAGATGTTGGAATGGATGTATGAATAAAAGTAAAGCTGCAGGGAAGAAACAGCTCCGGGCGATGTGGGGAGAAAAGAAAAAAGAAAAACAATCGGGCAAAGAGGAATAGAAAAGGAGCTTTGGGCGCGGGAGGAACCGTGGTAATTCTCAGAGAAAAAGGGAATGAGAAAAATAGGTGGAATTAAGACCCTTGTTCGGCACTGGCCCGCTTAATTACAGCCTCGTGGGACTGGGGCACAGCTCAATCTTCCAGGGTCTTTACGAAGTAGTAGATGGCATGTCGTCGATAAAAGAATGACGGACGAGACGTTCGGGTATCGGCGGCTGTAGACATGGGCAAATGAGAATGAAATGCTCATTTGCGAATCAAAAGCATTGTGACAGGAAAGACACACGAAGAATTGGAGAAGACAGGAGGAAAAACGCTCGAGTCTCAGTCGTCGGGCCGCTGACATCATTTGAAACGCGACAACACCCCTGCCTGGCGCGGATCTCGGAGCTTGGGGCCATTGGTTTGCGCTTGTCTTTCAACTTCATTCCAATATTCTCTCGACGACAACCTCTTTTGCAGAGACCCCGAATCCATCAATCACCTATCCGAACCGTAGTCGCACACGTATACCCGAGTTCTGAAACGCGACGTCCTTATCGGATTCCTCCTAATAGTGCTGCTACCAACGTCGGACACTCCCACGAAGCTCCACACAAGCTCCAAAGCACCTCTTCCATCCATTGCGACATCCACCACATCGTCTTCACAACAACCACAGAGCATCATGACATCCCCACCGACAACAGTAACCCTCCGCTCCCCCTCAAAATACACAACCTCCTCCACCCCGTCACCATCAACCTTTTCCGCCCCGCCCCTCGAATGGCTCCTCCGCACCTGGTCCGTAACCCACTCCACCCTCGCAATGTGGCGCGACGCCCGCAACGTCCGCATCTCCTACGCCTCCATGGCCCCGAAACCAGACGGCACAGCCCGCATAGACGACCTCGTCGAGTACGAGTCCAACAAGACCCCGCACCCCTCCTCGGCCGTCAAATCCGTCAAGGGCGTCGATACCGCGTGCGCCGTCGGGGATACCTCCGTCTGGGACTGGCGGGGTAAAGGGTGGTTGTTCTTTGTGGCAAGTCATTGGGAGGTTCTGGGTTGGGGGGAACGGCGGATTGAAGGGAGCGAAGGGGAGGTGGAGAGGTGGGCTGTGACGTGGTTTGCGCCGACGGTGTTTACCAAGGAGGGTGTTGATATCTATTGTGATCGGAAGGAGGGGTTGAGTGCTGCTGGGTATGAGGAGGTTATGGGTGCGTTGAAGGGGCTGGAGGCCAAGGAGTTGGTTGGGATGGTGGAGAAGGATATGTTGCCTGTTGAGATTGCGTTGCCCTGGAAGGAGGCGTGAGTGTTGTGTACTTGGATCCTACGTTTCCTAGTCAGGCATGTCTTTGATTTGAGATTGTATAGCAGTGATATAATACCTAGGCTTAGCAGCTGTCTATTGATATTGAACCTATCATCACAATTAAGGGTGAGCTCACAGCTGCATGTAAAGGCACTATCGACGACTTGGTCTAAGACCGCTGAAGCAGTCATTGAGCTTTTCGTACAGATTTCTTGGAGGGAGGCCGAATAAACTTCACCTCCAGTGACAGGAAATCCCTCCACCAAGTACTCATTATCTCCCAAGACTATCGTTCAAAGTAGAATATCACCCCAGCAATCATTCATGGTCACAGAAGATAAGGTATAAAAAGGCCGCAATGGCGCATTAGTCCAAGGCTTCTCAAGAATACATCTAGCACCTTGCAGAGGATGCTGCGCAAGGAGATTTCAAAGGTGCTCCTCCTCGGTGCGATGAATTCTACAGAATTCCTTCTATATTTCTTTGTCTCCAAGGCGATGTCATTCGCAGCAGACCGTTCCGCATCTCTCGCCACGACGTCCCTCGCTCACGTTCGCCCACAAATACCCCCCGCCAACTCCCAGGTTCGTCCCAATTCACAAATCACCCGGACCTTCTCACACATCATTCCCATAACCTCCATCCATCAAAATCAAGTAATCCAACAGCTTAACATTCGAGGTCCAATCCTATTCGTCTTTCAAGTTTCCGAAAACGGCTCTGGGCAAAATTGCACAAAAGTCGGGAATCGGGCGGCGATCACTCGATCTGGCAGAAGTTTCCCAGGCCAAGTGTTTCTGTTTGAAATACCAATCGTCCGTAGGCTGAGAAGTGTTAGTAGCTTTTTTTTTTTTTTTTTCAATTCTCTATGATCTTAACTAGAAGCAACAAGTTAGTAGACAGAGGAGCTAGATAGACCCTTTAATACGATAATACGCATCAGTAGTGTAAGCCCCCAAGTTGGATCTCAAAATTATTCCATCTGAATACTCCCTGAGGATTGAGGTTCTTGGGCCTGGTCATCCTTCCATCCTGTCATAAAAGGTCGGGGGAACGTGGCCGAAGGGTATGAGAGGGGGGAGTCAAAGGAACAACCCGAAAGTCCTCGAGCCTCACTCAACCTAACCTTTTGTTCGATTCCCTATCAATGACCCTTCTTTTTCTCTCGGTTTGAGCGGAAGGCAAGGACAATCATCTTTTTTTCATCCTCGAGGTAGCGTTAGTCAGGCATTTGCTTGCGAACCTTATTCTGCAAGTGTGCCTATTGATACGTTACAAGTACTCATTGCGATGGCGCTGGCTTGAAGCTGAGTATGAAGCGTATGCTCCAGGAGCCCATACACCAGGATGAATAAGTAGTTATTTTTAAAAAGGCAAAGTAGAGTAGATCAAGATGGAATTCGTATTCAATTTCAGTGCCATTATCATTACGTCCTCCGAGCCAAACTCAAGCGAATGAAATGGGTATACTGCAAAGCCCGTCCAACGTGATCATGCCGATCTGAGGTATCATCTCCCGGGCAGGCCTCTGTCCATCCTCACCCCAAATCTCTCCCGCGTGTTACAAGTACATGTTTTTGTTTTTTGTTTTGCCTATTTCGTGGTATAGAATTGTCGCAAAGGGGTATTTGAAAAATCAATCGTGTCGGAAGCATCGTGAAGCGCAAGAGGGTATTGACGTCGCAGCAAGAGAATCAATGCGTTATTGGTGACAGCCGCAAAGGGATCGGCTTCAGTGTGACCAAGCTATTCCCCCACACGAGACGTCAAGTCAGCACTCGGTGCGAACTCAAATGTTTTCGATGACACGAGAGTTAATGGCTTGCTGAAAGCCGGAATCCTGACCTCCAAAGTCGTTGAAGTCGCCAGTGCCGTTGTTGGTACCGCTCGACTCGCCCGTCTGGTTGGTGCCGCTGAGCGACTGCTGGATGTTGGGCATGGTCTGACCGGGGCCAGGCAGGAAGATGACCTTGCTGTTGGAAGACTTGGCCATCGCCTGCATAGCTTCGAGGTAGCGGATCTGCATGGCAGGGGCAGACGACAGAATGTCGGCAGCCTGGCGCATGAGCTTGGCGGATTCGACCTAGGTTGTGTTAGTGATGGATTACAAATGTTAGGGGTCTCGGATGCGTACCTCTGCCTTGGCGGCAATAATCTTGCTCTCACCAATACGCTTGCTCTGGGCAGCCATGGACAGCGACTCCTGCAACTCTTGGCTGAAGATAATGTCCTTGATGAGCATGCTCTCGACCTGGACACCCCATCCGGCAGCAACATCCTCAATGATCTCGCCAATGGACTGGGCAATCTCCTCCCTGCGCTCAATGACATCCTGGAGAATGCGGGCACCGACAACATGGCGAAGAGTGGTCTGGGTTCGCTCCATGAGAGCCTGGCGCACGTTGGAGATACCGAAAGCGGCTCGGTGGGGTGCGACAATGTGGTAGTAAATAACAGAGGTGAGGTGCAGGGTGACGTTGTCCTTGGTCATGCAAGTTTGCTGGGGAACCTCTGCCATTTGGATCTTGACGTCGACCTGGATGAGCTTTTCGCTCATGGGATTGACCTTGACAAGACCAGGGTCGACGGCCTTGTAGAATTTGCCAAACTTGGTGACCAGACCGACATTACCCTGGTTCACGTTCTTGTAAGGGTTCGGGCAGACGATGCAGCAGGGGATGGCACCAACAGTACCAATGCAGGCACCAAAGGTGTTGACTATGATATGGTGTTAGTGCTTTGCGACAGGTTTCAAGGAGAGGCGGTTGTAGGACATACTCATGGTTCCGTACCAGCCCTTAGGGTTGGCATCTTCGGCGACAACTCTGGCGTAGCTGCGCTGGAGATCCTCCTTGGTGGGAGGCTGAACAGTCATCTCGTTGTGAGGCTTGAAGCCGCCCTGTCCAAGACTGAGACCGCCACCGTTGGCCGTGGTCTCGCTGCGCTCCTCATAGTCGGGGGCGCGGGCCTTGCCCGTGGAAGTGCTTTCGTGTTGCGGGGCGCTCATCGTTGGCGAATGCGATCGGGACGAGTTGGTTCGGAGAAGGTGTCGTGCAGATGTGTTGGAAGAAGAAGCTTGTCGAGTACGGGTATCTAAATGTTCAGAAGCTTCGTTGGTGGATTCTGAGTACTGAACCATGTGTGCTAACTAAGGTAGGATTTGGTGATGGATGGGGGCACGAGGTTCTTAAGTAGATGACGTCTGGGGTAGGTACGAGATGGAGATGTGTCGAGAGGAGAATGGAGACCGGGGACTGCAAAGACCAAGGGATCATAGACACGGGTCTAAGAGCAAGGGTCGAATCATCTCGTGGGACAGGGTGGGCTGTGTTTGTACCCAGGAGGGAGCTCTGGCACTTCTGGCTTCTTGGGGTCATGTTTCTTGGGGGTTCTTTCTGGTGGTGGTGGCACTGAGCTATCGGCAAGCGCAATGATAGGCGGACGGGAAGGAGAAGAGAGGAGAGGCAGTCGCAAACCGCGAAAAGGAAGCTACAGGAGCCGAAGGGTGGAGCAGGGGTCTCGTGCAGCACCTCCCTCAAGAGTCAATAGTCACCAGTATGGTAGGTAGGTACCTTCTTGCCTTGGACCTCACCTTTGAAAGTGCAAAGTGCAGGAGCAACCTCAAGGTAGGTTGGTGGAGCTATCGAAGGCACCTAGCACCTACCTACCTGCCCCGTGTTCCAGTTGGTTGCCCCGTCTGTGTCTGTGGGCTGTTGAACGGGCAGGGATGCGAGCACTAGGGAAAGAACGCTGGAGCCATGCGGGGCAGAAGTGCCCGATGGTGGAGAGCACTGCCCGCGAAACTCCAACATACGGGTGGCCCATGCGCATCTCGAGCTTCCTTCCATTCCTGGTACAGCAAAATGTTTCGTCAATTCTTTCTGCCTACCCTGCTACTTTACACTAAGGTAATGTAGACATTTGGCTGACTGTTCTCTTCGGCACACACTCCGCATTCTTATTGCCAGATACCTACACCAGTGCAGCCAATATGTCAAAAAGATCTCGTGGTCATAGCCGGCCTCCAAAAAGGCGCGATGCTAGTAGAATCGACACCGATGCGACGGCTTGACTTTCCATATCGCATCCAATCGCGAGGCTGCCGGTCTGCCGTCTTACCTCCAAAGTCCCTACACCCCAACTCGATTGACATGGTTGTTTCTTCTCTTTTGCCCGGATAGCCAGCGCGAATTTCACCCTCGACTGCGCGCGTCGACTAAGTCAATGTGTGATCGCCCGACTGCTTCCAAACTTTACCACGAGGGCAATGTCGCTGCTCCGCCCTCTTCATTCTTCGCTGCCTAGGCAACAAAAAACCTCACGATCCGATCCCAACGGTCCGTCCTTGGTGGCAGAGCGGTGGCGGACCCAATCCGTCCTTCAATCAGCCTTGGCTACACTACCTACCTACAGCCAAGACACGACAAGCGTGCACGGTGATAATTGCTGACTGCTGACTGCTCAGGGATTGCTCAGGGATTGCTCAGGGCGGTCGTGGCACCACCTTTGCCCAACTTCTCCGAGAAAAACTTCACACCATACCATCCAAACGCGCCGTCTAATGTCGACAAGCTCCGGGCTGTCTGTCTGTCTGTCTGCCAGGGGCAATTGAATTACTGCAACTGTCGACCAAAAGTCACACGCGAACGGAGAACGTTTCACACATCATTCATCTCTGTGTCATGATATTCGGGGCCCTGTCACCCCAACTCCCTCAACAGCCAATCAACGCCCTCGCGCGTGCCGACTTCCGCCCAGGGAGGGCATGGCAGAGTGGCATGATATCATGGAAACCCCAGCGCCGAGATTTGGGGAACCCCACCTTACACCATGTACGAATACCTACCGTACTGTCCTCAGGTCAAATATTGCAATTATTCGCCGACTGCTTTCAGTTAACAAATGCCTGGCGCAAGCGAATGACTTTTTCCAAGGTGGTACCTATCTGTCCGTTCCCTGACGGCTCCTGCGGCCGGTATTCAACAACCAACGGACCCTTCATCGCAGAGCCTCTCTCAAAGTCCGAGGAATTTGGAGACCCAAGAATGACTTCATTGACTCCGCTCTTGAGAATGCGCCTCCAACCGCTCGTGCATACGGATACATAGTTGAGTGGTGTCTTCTCCACTCAGTCTACCGTCGCCGCCCAGCTTCTGGGCAAAGCGCCATTTCAACCCCCAGCCTCCGGATCGGCCAATCCACGCCGGCGGCATGTATCCACCTTTTCGAAAGTGGCCCTAGCGTCTCGCCGGCACGCGTGACACGGCACTGCCCCGCCAATATTTGTCGCCCGGCGAACTTGAGCGACAGCTTTCCATCTCTGCCTGTCGGCCACTGCCCATCAATATCTTTGAGATATTTGACATCATGCGCCGGATTAGCCAAAATCCCGGCCGATCCTCCGCCTTTATCCCGACAAACCAACAGCAATCTCCGGTAGCGACCCGCGGGCGACTGCGATCGTTGCCCGAGTCTCACCGAATCCAGCATCCGGCGAGACCATCTCCACCTCGAACCCATAACCTTCGTCACATGCTTACTTCGTACGCAGGGCGGAGACGCAGACTCCACAAGGCTTAAATGGTTGACTGAAGCCCCCCATCTACACCATCCTTGTCGTCTTACTATTATGTCGTCTCGTTTGCTGTGCAAATGTGGGAATAGCTGAGCTTTTTCGAGAGAAATTGTAGATCTTACTACTCCGAATATTCCCTATGAAGCTCAGCCTCCAAGTGCCCCCACCATCGAATCCTTCCAGAAGCCTTCCTTTTCCGCCACCCCTGCGCCGCGGTGCATCCCTCGTCCACGATCTGACAATTCTATCGTCATTCTCATCTTGTGCAAGGTTGACTAGTAACTATGACAATGTGTTGTGCCTAATCATCCGTATCACTATGGCTTTGTAGATCACTGCCACGATCCCGCATAGGCTGTTGTGGCAATGGCTGTGTTAGGGTCACGATACTGACCCTATATGTGGAGGAGCTGTATCAGGCACGGCGACAGGGTACAATAACCCGAAAGAAATAAGCGATCGAATTTTTCTAGAACGACCAAGCTGTGAGGATCAACTGTAGGATGACGATGGTCAAGATTAAGGCCTGGTTCCTGGTTCAATCTTGAGCCACACTGGTCTGCATCCAAGAAGCCTAACGCAACGCCTTGCAAGATACATCCAAATAAGCAAAAAGAAACAGCCAGACAGTTGCTGGCAACCAATCCCACCCCACAAGGTAAACACAACCCATCACTGGCCTCTCATCCCCCTCATACCCCCAAAATCCTCCACAATAGCAGCGTGATCCATCTTCCACCCGGGGCTCATGGAAACCATCCAGTCCCCCTCAAGCAACTTGTCATCCTCAATACTCCTCCTCGTATCCGCATACGACGCAGCCCAAATACTCCTATAAATCCCCTGCGCCGGATAACTCACCAACCCAAACGTCGCGGCAGTGCTCTTCGTCACAAGACTCACCACGCCCTTGCCCAACCCCTTTGCCGCGCCCAGCGCACCCTGCTCTTTTTTGCCAGTGTACGTGTGAATGAAGATATCCGTCAGCCCGCCCTTCATGTCCTGGCAGAACGTCTTGCCCGCCACCGAGACGCCGCTGCGGAACCCCTCGACGGCGTCGTGCTTGCGTACGGTGTCGCCGTAGAGGTTGGGTACCGCGCGGAGACCTTCGGTGACGGCGAGTGGGATGTCGACGAGCATGCCCTTTGTCGCGTTGCCCGCGAGTTTTCCCACGCCGTTGGCCGCTGCCGCTGCCGCTGCCGCTGCCGCTGCCATTGCGCCCGGTTTTGCACCACCGGAAGATGATTCTTGACTACCCCTGGATGGCGGCGACCTGGCCACTGTCATATCCGAGGAAGTCTTCTCCCCCGCTGCTGCTGCTGCTGCCGCCGCCACAGCCCCGTCTGGGACCCCGACGCCGGGGAGAGGCAGCATGGCGAACGCGGGTGCCTGGTTGTGTCTCCGCGAGTTCTCGACTTGCTGGTCTTCGAGATTCTCGCCGGATTCGCTGGTGCGTTTATACTGTTCAAAAGGCTTCACGATTATGTCGACCGTGGCGCCTGCCATTTTGACGATTGTCGAGAGGGAGGCTGCCGATACTGCGGTCAGGGGGTCCCATCTTTGGTTTTCAATGTTTGTCGGTTTCGACCGGTATCTGTAGAAGAAAGAACGTCAGTGAAAATGGGGGGTCTTGGATATAAAGTCCAAGGTACGGCGTGTGTCGCCACGTACGACTTAAGCTGCTTCCGCTGCAACTTCCCATTCTTGACCAATATGGACGCGACAGGTCGACACATCTTGACCTGCTTCTTTCCTCTGCCGTACACCAGCGCCGCGGGCTGGTCGGAAAAAAAGTCGCAGCCCATTTTCGACTGCGGCAGGTTGGCGTGGAAGACGTCGACGGCGGCCTGGACGCCGTTCTCCCTCTGCATTGATTCTGCGAGCTTTCTGGCTGATTGGACGGCGTCCGGGGAGAGGCAGAGCTGGATGGACTGGATTAACTTTTGGGATGTGAGGGAGCGGTAGGGGATGGGGTCTGGTCCTGCGCCGGCTTCTGCTACGACGGCACCCCAAAACGGTTGGCTGTAAGAGACGTGTCAGTCAAAAAGAGGAAATAAAAAATCAACTAGTGATTGGGGGGGTCTTGCGTACTCTCCAAAGAAGGGAACGATAGTTGTAGGCTTTGCGTATCTCAGTCCGCAGGCCGTGGTACCGGCGCCGCCGTGGTGGATGACGGCGGCGACTTGCTGGAACAGCCACTCGTGCGGGCAATCGCCCACGTAGAAGACGTTTTCCGACTCCTCGCCGTTCAAATTGCTCCAGCCTCTCGAAATGATGGCTCTGACTCCCGTTGCCTTGATTGCGCTGAGAACCATGGTCATGAGGCCCTCGATTCCGCCGACCACAATACTACCAAACCCGACATAAATGGGTGGCGGACCGGCCTCGAGGAAGGCTTCTAGATCTGGAGGTGGTGTATACGGTGCAGGATCGCGGAAGAAGAAGCCGCTGATGTCTGTTGTTCCTGGTTAGGCTGACTCTTTATAGGGAAGTTCTCGATGGGAGACTTACCAATATGCGGACCCCAGTCGCTAGGCTTGGGCACGAGAGATGGTGACCAACAGTATGTAAATGGGACTTGCAGACTTTCTAGTATACGATGTCCCTCGGTAGACGGCACTGGTTCCAAGCCGAGCGACTGGACTCTCCACGCGTTGACAAGATCTCCCAGGCTATTTCACCGTCAGCCATCAAAGTCACTCGCACGCAAAGAGAGACATTCTCACCCCTGCCACGTCAAAAACTCAACAGCAGCATACGAAGCATGATTCGTACTCTTCTTATCCGCCTTTGAAAACCCAATATTCGCCAACGGGTGGGGAAACGTCTTGGTGCTGCTCCACGGCATCGTAAACATCAAATGCACCGGGATCCCCAGCGCCTGGGCGCAGTGCACGTGAGCGAAGCTCGGCGGGTTGGCAATAATGGCGTCGGCGACAAAGGGCACGTTAGATAGGGGGTCCGGTTGAATACACGAACGCCAGAAGCCGTCGAGCATCTCGACGTACATGTCGCGTTTCCGCTGGATGATGCCGGCGCGGATCTGGGACATTTTGGGGATCAGGGACGGAGACTCGACCATGTAGGCCATTAGGTCGGCTGGGTCGCCGCCGACAGGGAAGAACTCGATCTTGTTCGGGGAGGCTGGGACGGAGGTGTTGGATTCGAGGACAAGGGAGGAGAATTGGGGGTGCGTTGCGATGCGGACGCGGTGGCCTGCTTTCTGGAGGGCGGGGGCGAGGGCGAGGAAGGGCTGGACGTCGCCTCGGGAGCCGACGACTTGGACTACGATGTTTAGGGGCATTGGCCATTGGCGTTGAGGTGTGTATTGGGGTGTGTACTCGGGCGGTGTCTGGTCTTCAGTTTGCGTTGAGCTGGATGGCTCGTCTTCTGTCCAAGACCGTGTTAGGTCTTCGCTCTCAGGGATACTGCATAGTATTCGGATTGCTTTACCTTCGAAGTAGAGGTCCTCGAGACCAAAGACCGAAGCCTTTGACTCCATCGAGGATCCGAATGTCTCGCTCTTTTCACCTTCCATGTTTGTGTAGTTCACGTGCTGAGAAGCTGCGTGGTGTTGAGAGTGGGTAGTAAAAAGGTACGGGAGACTAAGGTAGGAGACAGGGAGGGGCAGGGGCAGGGCCAAGTCCATATGAAGAAGACTTAAGCATACCTTACATAGTACCTTGCCGCATAGCCTCCTAGATAAGGCCGCGTCAGAAGCCGGCTACTCCCAGCTTAGCCAGTGGATCTGGTTTTTACTTCTTAGCTAGGCATGTCATAAATACGAAATGAGCGGCCCGAAACTCAGCTAGTCTCGCTGTTTCGGGGTGACCGTAGGGCGAAAGGAGGTGTTCCCTGCCATTCAGAAAAGTCTGATGGTCATCTCGGTCATTTCTCTGGTAGTTGTTCCAACGATCTCGTTCTCAGTCTACCAGATCCTTCCAAAAGATGCCAAATACTGTCAAAATCAGTATGTGCTTCAGCTAATCTCAAAGTCCCAACACCTTGCCATTATGTACTGTAGACAAGTCTAAAACCGCAGTCCGTCTAGACGTTCTCTTCCCGGCTATTGGGAAGACCCTACAATTCAAGCTTATCTCCTTCCGTCTCCTGCTTCTTCACCGTCCTCTTCATCTTCCTCGACGCGCAACAGTACGCACACCCGTGAATGGAGCTCAACAGCCACAACAGCATGCTAATCCCCGCGATCCAAGCCCCAGCAGCAAGTCTCGACTTGACATCGCCCGAGACATCACCCTTCCCTTTGCTGCCCACGACGATAGACGAGGACAGACCACATAGCGCGGCCCATAGGACGGCCAGCCCACAATCCCATACGGACCATGCGGCGTGCGTGACTGTTGCGAAGACGTGGTAGGCGCACGTCAGCGCCGAGAGGACGGCCGGGACGAGGGCAAAGATCCAGTTTGTCCTGCCGAGGTTTTGCGTCGGGAGGGTATTCCAGGAGCCGAGGGTGGCGGCGTAGAGGCCTATCGTGACGATGGCGAAGGCGAATTGGAGGATTCGGATGCCGGCGCGGACCCAGAGGCCGAAGGCGCCTGAGAGTTGCCAATAGTCTGTGTTCATGGTTTGGTTTGTGGTATATGGTTCGTACCCAGGATGTAAAGTAGTAGATGACAGAGAGTCTAAGGATGTCGATGTGCTTGTTAGAGGAAGGAGAAAGATGTTAGATTCAGGGAAGAGAAGAATTGGAGACTGATGGATGGTAGGGGTTTTGGGAGAAGAATGGAGGGGAAGGGGAAGAGGAGGAACGAAACTCGGTACTCCTTTCCGGGAGATGAAAAATTCAATGGATCTTTATCCTTGCCACGACTGGTTGAGACGTCTAGAAAGAAGAGACGCAAATTTTCTAGACGCTGCTGCTCAATGTTATCTGGTTAGATACTCCGTAGTGTGATGCTTTGGTGCGTGTAAGTCGTCAGCGGGGGTCTCCCTCGTCCCTGAATCGTGGTTACGGACCAATCAAAACATTTCCGTCTTCAATACGAAAAATTCATTCGTTTTCGATACGATTATTTTGGCGCTACGAAGTCCGCCACTGTTCTATTCTCCAGCCTTAATTCCCAGTTTTACCCAATACCTCCCTTGTCCTAGCATGAACGACTCAGTAACGAGTACACTCCATGACTGACTGGGATTTGAATTCTATTTCCTCGACACTAGTGTACAGGGTCACCGGCAAATGGCCGATCACAGGGAGCCATCCGTGCTTGGCGCAGCGTACGGCCGACCTCACTCAGTCTGGGAGGTGGCTCGGAAGAGACCCTCACGGCCCTTCGCGCCGTTGACATAGCCTCCATGGAGCCTCTCCGTTCAGATGGAACTTGGACTTGGACGACTGGGGTTGTGACGAAATTGTCATTGGGACTCTGTAACAAAGCAATGTTGAACACGGCCATGGTCCCTGCGGTTCACTTATTTTCCTGTATGGATTTCTTCCGTAACAAGGTACTTGCTCGGAATACGGTCGTGATAAAATGTCGTTCAACGATACGAAAAAGGAGGATATGGCGGACTGTTCCATTCTCATATAAAGATGGTTGTTGAGACGGCATCATGGCTCTTTCCTAGATGGCAGATGACAGGCAACTCCACAAGCCCAATCTTCTCTCGTTACCAAAATGGCAGTCAAAATCGCCATCTCGTTCCTGGGCGCCGTCTGCGCTTTGGGCGCTTCCGCCCAGCAGACGTGCAAAACCACCCCCGACGACGCTGCATGGCCGTCCGACGAGGACTGGTCGGCGCTGAATGCAACCATCGACGGTGTTCTTATCAAGACTCAACCCGCCGCATCCTCCTGCTATGCCGGAAACCCTTTTGGCTCCTCGCAGTCATGCGAAGACATCGAGAAGGGATGGGGATACTCCTACTATCACGCCTCGCTTCCCGAGTCCATCGACTCCCCCATTTACGCCAATAACTCGTGTCTCCCTCCTAGTCAGTCCGGGGCAAAGGGCTGTGAAATCGGCGGCTTGCCGCAGTACGTTGTGAATGCCACGACGGAGGAGCAGATTGCCACTGCCATGGGCTGGGCCAGCTCGCGGAACATTCGTATCGTTATCAAGGGAACTGGGCACGACCTTAACGGCCGGTAGGACGACTCTATTGTACTCTCAGAGCTTCCACCCGCTAACCCAACATCAGGTCGTCCGGCGCCTACTCGCTGTCCATCTGGACTCGCAACTTTAAGCAACTCGAGTACCACCCCGAGTGGAGATCCCCAAGCGACAACAGAACCGAGGCGGCACTCACCCTGGGAAGCGGCCACAACTGGGGCTCCGCCTCCCGAGGAGCAGCCAAATTCGACAGAGTCGTCGTCGGGGGCGTTGACGAGACAGTCGGAGTCGGCGGACACATGCAGGGAGGCGGCCACGGTCCCCTCTCGAGCACATACGGCCTCGCAGCAGACCAGATCCTCCAAGTGCGCGTCGTGACGACCGACGGCCAAATCCTCGTCGCCAACGAGGCGCAGAACCAGGACCTCCTCTGGGCTGTCCGCGGCGGAGGCGCCGGTCAGTACGGCCTCGTCTCCGAGTACGTCATCAAGGCGAATCCCCCGCCGGGCAACGTGGTCTCCAGCGGCATCGAAGTGTCCGCCGTCGGCAACGACACTGCGTCTAGAGAGGCGGCTTGGAGAGGTGCCGCGGTCCTGCTCGCCAGCGTTCCGGACCTGATGGATGCGGCCGTCACGGGAACCGGCATGGTCAGCGCTGGAGCTCTGCCGGCCAGCTCGTCCGAGACTGTCCGCAAGGTCACCGCCTCCATCAGCTTCTTCGCATACAACACAACCGCAGAGAAGATGACCTCGCTGCTTGAGCCCGTCAGAGCCCGCATCTTTGCTGAAGTGGGCAACAACTCCGTCACCGTCACCCTGAGCGAGCCGTCGTCGCAGCCTGATTTCATGACCTTCTTCGAGAGCCTGAACACGTCGCCTAGCGCTTCCGGAGCCGGCATGCTCACGAGTCGCCTTCTCGGACGCAAGGAACTCGTGGAGACCCCGGTTTCGGCCGTGTCCTCGTACCTCCAGCGTCTCAACGTGCCTCAAACCCCCACGAGAAGCAGCCTCATGGTCATCGGTCTCCAGGGCGGGCTGGGACCACGCAATGTCCCCGAGGTGATGCGCGGTGCCCTCAACCCAATGTGGCGTTCGACATACATCCACCTGATGAGCTACGGCGCGTCGGCGGATGCCAACGCAGCGCCCCAGGAGGCCCTCGATGGTGTCGCGCAGTGGCTGGAAGAGGTCAAGGAGCCTATCTGGCGCGAGTGGGCACCGGGCGCTGGCTCGTACATGAACGAGGGCAACGCATTTGACTCCATGTTCAAGGAGGACTTTTACGGCACTTCTTACGACCGTTTGGTTAAGATCAAGAGCAAATATGACCCCACGGAGAGTCTGTTCGTCTTGTCGGGTGTTGGAAGCGATGCTTGGGACTACAACCTCAACAGTGGCAAGTTGTGCAAGTCGGCCTGATTTTGCTCGGACTAAGGGTGGTGTTTCGATTACCGCCTGTGACTAAATTAACTTGGCTTCGATATTATAAGTAGCTATTTTCTGCCCTTCTATTGTAGATAGATTATCATTCTTACTGCTGTAATTTATACTTGCTTGGCTCTCGAAGTTCTTCTGGCCGCCGATGATCATCTCGTTGTCGTGAATCAGAGTCTCGTTTGCTTCGTTCGTGCATCGTCCCGCCTCTTCCTTCATGGCGGCTCCTTTCATCTCTTCTGGATCGCCTATCAGTTTCATCCCTTCTTTCGTCTCGGCCACTTCTTTCTTCGTGATGACGGCCCCTGCTCCGGGGTCGCTCATCATCTCGACTGGGCCGATAACGGCGTTCGCTGTTCCTCCTGGAACGGGATCTAGCTTCATCATCGTCCTTCTCACGAGACCTATCTCGAGGGTGACGCTCTTCATCCCTGCGATGATCTCGTCTCCGCCGCCCGTGTCTCTCCTTTCGCTTCTCCTCCTTGCGCAGCTGCTCGAGCTCCCTCTGTCGCTCGGCTTCAATTTTTTGGCGCTCTTTCTTGACCTCTCTCACTCTCGATGCCCCCATCTTCATCATCGCAAGAGGGTCGCTCGCTACTATCCTTTTTTCTTCTCTCTTCTTCCTCCCTGGGTCTTCGTTGCCGAATGCGTCCTTGCCCGCTGGCTCGAGCTCTGCTAGTTCAGCTCTTGACCCAGATGCTGCGTACCAAGGGCCGACCATGCCGTCCTTGCCAGCGGCATTTGATAATCGCATTGTGTACTGGTCCTCGAGTTCTTTCTTCTTCTTAGCAGCCTCCTTCTCCGCCTCTTCATTCTTTAGATGGCGACCCTGTTTTCGTTCTTCGCCAAAGAGGTCAATGTGCCCAGTTGCATCGACGATCGGCGCAGAGCTGGTAGACTTGCGCAAGGTCTCGTTGGCTGTCTGCACGACGTCTGAACGCTCTTTTGCAACACGTAACTCGAATTCAGTGTCGTCCTCGCCAGCGCGCTTGCGCTTCTTCCTCTCCCTGCCGAAAGAACCGGCATCCCGGTCCCGAGATCGTGGCTCTTCCTCAGGGGTTTCCTCTGTTGGCGGCAGTGGTGGCGGTTCCTCGCCCCGTAAGATAGCTAGCCGTCGCTCGGCGTCGACCTCTTGCATGCGCTGCTCCTCGGCCGCCTCCTTGGCCTTTTCAGCGGCCTCATCGCGACGGACACGGGCGATATTGTCCGCATTGTAGACGTTCCAAGACTTTTTGCCCAGCAGATGCCTGTTGGTTCGTTAGTCTCTGGCTAAATCCTGTTCGAATATTGGTAGACGTACAACGGCATTTTGATTGATTTAGGGATTGGGATTAAGCTTCAGAAAGCTATTGATGAGATATGTCATGGAGAACAATGTCACTTTGGGGCCGTCCTGGGGTGCGAGTGAGGATGTCCCGAAAAGGATTAGACTGCCAGTGGTTTGCGAGCCAATCGACGTCATTAGTCAGGCGGCATGCTGGACACCTGAAGTGGGTCCGGTGCAGCGATGGACGACAGCGGCGTGCCCCACATCACTTTGACTTGCACCTTCCCGCCGTCAGTCTGCAGATGCCACAAGTTGCTGAACAACTCCCTTGTCAATGTCAAACCCTGTTCAAAATACTTCATACCTAGAATGCCATGATACAAAGTCTAAGCTTGGATAGTTTGATTGGACACACTCCTACACCTCAGTTGCATAGGCAGCAATACTCCTGTAATGAAATGGGCAAAAAGAGACATCTGGAGCATTCTCAAACTGGCCAGAGTTGAAACAGATTGAACACGGTTACAAACCACTGGATGGATCCACATAAGCATCAGCGCATCTTCTATGCCATTCGCTGCAGCAAGGGTAAGGTAAGGGTCCCCTCTATACGTACCTGCTTCGCCTTGTGTCCATTTGGCCCAAACAAGGTTTAGCGCTCCCCGGGGCCCAGGGGACTTGAAGCGAAGACGAAGCCGCGCAGCCCCTCCAACATGCTGCATTCCACCTACATAACCTCCCCTCGTCATCCTCACCGTCTTCCTCAGCACCTCTCCGGGGAAACACCACAACCCAGCCGTACGAAATCCATAACCGACCTCAAAACTCAGCGATCTATCCTTTTCTTCCACACCGACCGAGCGCCTCAGACATGAGCTTCCCCGAGAAGCCGCTCCCCCGCGGCCAGCCGCAGTCACCGAGACAGCCCGGTGTGCGGCTGAGGATCGAGAAGGTCAGGGACAAGGCCCTGCAGACCCAGCTCATTTATGCCAACGTGTAAGCATCTCCGACACTCATTCCCTCGTCTGCTGCTAACTGTTTCCCAGCGCTGGTGTCAGCTACCGAGACTTCGCCCCGAGCCGCGACGGCCAGGACATCAACGTCCTGATCCGAGCCAGAGACCCCGTCCGAGGAACAGTACGAGAGAACGTTATCAGAGCGCGGCCAACACCCGAACTCCCCGAGGGTACCATCAGTCTGTCTGATCCGCAAAGATCATGGCTGAAGATCGGAATGACGGACACCTTCGAGGGTGAGGTGTACGACGCGAACAGACAAGGGGCTACTCACCTCGAGGCCATGGACCTGGAATTGTCCTGGGCCTCGATGAAGAGAGACCCCAACTACGAGTTTAAGCACGAATATTTGGCCAAGGTCTTTGAGCGTTTCTTCCAGATGCACTTCTTCGCCCCCGGTCAGCGCACTCTGCTCGACATTGAAGGTCTGAAGATCTTCGCTACCGTTAAGACTATCACTTTTGCGGGCGGCAAGGGTCCCGATGCCGTTGTCACATCATCGGATCCCTCCGCTCGCGGATTCTTCAGCACCAATACACTACTGTCCTTCTTCAAGGGCGCCGAGTCGGATATGAAGCTTCAAGTTGGTGAGCACCAGGGTAACGCCAACCCCATTATCTCGCCAGACTTTAAGTTTGAGGATATGGGTATTGGTGGTCTCCAGGACGAATTCGCCACCATTTTCCGCAGAGCCTTCGCTTCCCGTGTCTTCCCTCCCCAGCTGGTAGCGAAGCTGGGTATTCAGCACGTCAAGGGCATCCTGCTCTTCGGTCCCCCAGGAACCGGAAAGACGCTTATCGCTAGACAAATCGGAAAGATGCTCAACGCTCGTGAGCCCAAGATTATCAACGGTCCTGAGGTGCTGAACAAGTTTGTCGGTCAATCCGAAGAGAACATTCGAAAGATGTTTGCGGATGCTGAGAAGGAGTACAAGGAGAAGGGTGACCAGAGTGGTCTTCACATCATCATTTTCGATGAGCTGGATGCCGTCTGCAAGCAAAGAGGCTCCGGTGCCGGAGGCGGTACTGGCGTCGGTGACAGTGTTGTCAACCAGCTTCTCACCAAGCTCGACGGTGTTGACCAGCTCAACAACATCCTCCTCATCGGTATGACCAACCGAAAGGACATGATCGACGAGGCGCTTTTGCGTCCCGGTCGTTTGGAGGTTCAGTTGGAGATTAGCTTGCCCAACGAAGACGGACGCAAGGAAATCTTCATGATCCACACTGCCAAGATGCGGGACAACAACATTATGGATTCCAAGGTCGACCTCGCCTCACTGGCAGCTCGCACCAAGAACTACTCTGGTGCCGAGATCTCCGGTGTCGTCAAGGCTGCAACTTCATTCGCCTTCAACCGTCACACCGAGGTCGGCAACAGCGCCAAGATGAAGAATGATGTATCCGCGATGAAGATCACCATGGATGATTTCGACAACGCACTGACAGAAGTCAAGCCTGCGTATGGTGTTTCTGAAGACGAGCTGGCAAATGCCCTTGGCATGGGAATTCTCCAGTTCAACAACAACATTCCCGCCATCATCCGCACGATGCAGGGCTATATCGACACAGTCAAGGAATCAGACGTCCTCAACAGGATACCGGTCCTTCTGCACGGCCCGCCAGAGTCAGGCAAGACTGCTCTGGCTGCCCACACTGCCTCCCTTTCAGACTTCCCCTTTGTTAAGCTCATTTCGCCTCAGCACTTGACTGCTTTCCGAGATGAGTTTGGAAAGAAGGACCACCTCACCAAGGTCTTCACGGACGCCTACAAGTCAGAGCGCAGCATTGTGATTCTGGATAACTTTGAGCAACTGATTGAGTGGAACCCCATCGGGCCACGCTTTTCCAACACGGTGCTCGACAGACTTATTTCCCTCATCCAGACCCAACCGCCAAAGGTCAGTTGAAATCCCTCTGGTTTACTTTTTGATGAATCCTTACTAACTCCGTCCAGGGCCGTCGTATTCTCATCATGGTCACCACCTCAGAACGCTTCGTGCTCAGCAACTTGGGTGTTCTCAAGCATTTCCGCAGACAGATTCCGGTGCCCGCCATCTCCGATGTACGCGAACTCGCTCAAGTCCTGGACCAGTCAGGAATGTTTGGCGGCAATGACATCCAGACCGTCATCCAATCAGTGCGCAATGACACCCAGTCGGATAAGATTGGTCTTGGCATCAAGACGATTCTTGAGTCGATTGAAGAGTCAAAGATTGAGGCGTCTTCACAAGGCACCGACATGTTGGAGAGTTTGGCAAACAGGGTTGTGACGGCTATTTCCTCCAATGCCCTAGAGGAGTAAAGAAGGGAATAAGAGGTTGTCTCACAAGTTATAGAATAGACTCCAAATGAAAGAAGTCGAGTTTCTCCAAGCATGACATTCTCCCCCGTGATCTATGTTTAAAGCAATATATCAAGGTTATTTATTTGAACAAGATGTTGATGGGTTAGCCATGAAGCTTCGAGGAAGACCTTATGGCTTATGTAATCATAGTTTTCAGTGGGGCTAATATCAAGACCCGCACCGCGCCTGGTGGGGCATCGGTTGCGAGCCTGCCGTGAGGTCACAGTGCACTGCAGCAAGCTGAGCTCCTTCTGCAGTTTCACCTCCCAACATCAACCATCCCCCCCCCCCATCACCTCGAGATGGCCGACAGAGCACGATCAAGATCGCGCTCGCCTCGGCGCGATCGAGACAGAGACAGAGATAGACCGCGAAAACAAGGCGGTTTCAAATGGAAAGACAAGAGCCGCAGAGATGACCGCGACGAGCCAAGAGGCCTTGAGCGAGGCTACCGCAACCGCTCCCGCTCCCCTCGTCGCGACCGCGATCGCGAACCGGACAGAGATCGCCGCAACGACCGCCGCGGCGGTGACGACAACTACAGACCTCGCGACTCTGGCGGCGGCGGCGCCAGCAGAGATCGAGAAAGAGAGAGGGACGGAGGCAGAGACAGGGACAGGCCCAGCGCCTCGAGCTCGAAAGATGCGCCTACGAAGCCCAAGAAGGAGAAGGCCGCGCCCGCGCCGGCTGCGGGTGGTGGCGAGGAGATGATTATCGTGCACGTCAACGACCGTCTCGGCACCAAGGCTGCGATCCCTTGTTTGGCCTCGGACCCGGTCAAGATGTTCAAGATTATGGTGGCGCAACGGGTCGGGCGGGAGCCGCATGAGATCTTGCTGAAGCGCCAGGGCGAACGGCCGTTCAAGGATAATCTCACGCTGGAGGATTATGGCGTTAGCAACGGTGTGCAGCTGGATCTTGAGGTTGACACTGGTGATTAAGAGGTTTTGTGGAGGCTTTGGGTGTGGATTGAGGTTGTGGTTGGACTTTCGTTGCGGAGGACTTGTTGAAGCTTCCGGTGGTATCGCCACAATCACCCAGACTGCACCATTACGATTGCGTTACCTTATTCTGGCGTTATTGGGGGAAACGATCATACTATGGAATCAGGTCTGGAAAGTCTAGATGTTACCGATACCCGTACAAATGCTATGGTATGCAAGACCACCAATAGCCCTGCATCTTGCACTGCCCAAGGTACTCAAAGCCCATGAGATGATTGCTTTGACACTCCATGAACCACCCGCCTGGTCAGTACCTTCCACCTGAATACATACGGAATATACCACCACCAAAGCCTTCATATACCCCTCCAAGTCCATTCCTGTCACCAGCAGGCGCCCGTCTAGGTCGACGGGTCAGGTCAAACTGGCTAGGTGGTGGAATGGTTAATGGTCAACAATTAAAGTCTACGCCAACCAGCCTACTCGACGACAGGCTTAGCGCATACATGTACCCGAGTTCGAATCCCAGCATGAGCACCAAGAGATGTAGCCACACCGGTGGTGAACTCTTTTTGGTCCTTTAGACCTTTTGAAGATTACCTAAACAAGTCCCCTTGGACATTCCAAGTCCCTCCCAGTAAAAGCGCCAGGCGAAGAAGCTTGCTCCTCATTTCAAAATTACCCCCCTTACCTTAGCTAGGTGTTCTTTCACTCAAATACCAGAGGTGACGTTTGTGTTGGATATCGCGGCTCGCTTTACGTGTGAAGTCACATGACCCCGCGAGTTCGCGTCGAATTGCCCCCGCTTGGACCGTCGCGCTTGCGACGCGCCCTTGTCTTGACATTTGGCTCACCCTTCGCCGTTGACTCGGAAAAGAATCCATTTCAAATAACTCATTGCCTCGATTCCCCTCAATCTTTCTTCAGTAACATTCTTCTTCACTCAAAGAAAATATTCTACAACACATACAAACACTAGAGCTCACTACATCTTTATCAATACCCTCTCACTCCGCTCTCACTTACACCATCGCCATGACAACCACATCCACCACCACCACCACCTCCACCAAGAAGACGCCCGCCGCGCGCGATATCATCTCAATATCCATCCCCGAAGGCGAAGGCATGAAGACACAACTAGACCGCATCGCCCGCTCAAATCGCACTGCCTACGAGAAACGAGTATGGACCGCGCTGTGCCAGGTACCAAAGGGCCAGATCACGACGTACGGCATCCTAGCGGCTCATCTCAAGTCATCGCCGAGGGCCGTCGGCAACGCGCTGCGTCGGAACCCGTTCGCGCCGCAGGTGCCGTGTCACCGGGTCGTTGCTACGGGCGGCGCATTGGGTGGGTTCAAGGGCAAGTGGCCGAAGAATGGGGAGGGCATCACGCTTGATGAGAAGAGGATGCTTTTGAGGAAAGAGGGTGTGAAGATTGATTCGAGTGGGCGCGTTCTTGGGTCGCCATTTGTGGCATTTTCTTGAAGTCGAGAATGAAGACAATATGAAGTTCAAGCGTTGACGTTTCCAAGTCGACATTACCATGAAATCTTCACATCCCACGGCCGCCCGTGATGAGTTGCTTCTCGTAGAAAGACCATGGGTCCCCGGATATCTGTCTCTACATCTGGGGTTTGACAAGATGTGTTATCAATCATTGCACAGCAAGCAAGTCCCTCCCAGATCGTTGGAAACTTCCAAGGATTGATTGCGGTAAATGGCCTTGGCGATGAGCGGCACGGCACGCAAGCTGCACGCATCCGTACACATACCCGAATTCATACCCCTTGCATATGAAGGCAAGCGACCGTTCTTCCCAGCAGAAAGACTTCTTGTCGATCTGAATCCAGGCGGGAAGGGTTGAATGGTGCAGTGAGGATGGTACTGCTGCCTAGGAAGAGCGAGGTACTTGGCTGAATTCTTCTCTCCTGTCATGAAAGGACTTGGGGGCATGTGGCTAAGGGTAATTTGGAGGGAGTCGTAGACTAACTCACAAGTCCTCGAGTCTCACTCAACCCCGCAAGTAATACAAGCTAAGTCAAGGTAGGTAGCGTCCCAGAAGCACCCGCCGCCAAGTGTGTCACGATCTCGAGAATCCCCTTACCTTGCCTTGGGTAGCATTGGACTTGCCGAGCACGACAGTGCCAAGCGAATGCTACATGTAGCTCATAGATGCGGTCAACAAGAATGGGGCAAACGATCACCTGGTGAGTGGCATTCAGCCAGCTACTGATGAAAATATACTACGTTACCTACATCATGCAACAACAGAAGTTCAATTGGAAAAATCTTAATATAAGTTAAAATAAAATAAAAAATAAAAAAAAGCAAAAACAACAGGGGCCAGCCGAGGTTCGAACGCAGACCTGACCATCACAGCCCAAGTCACGACTTGACGACATTCTCATTTCGGCCATCAGCCCGGTATTTGTTGTTAGAATGGCAAGGCACTAGACTTCTCATGAGGTCTGCGGAAGAAAATTCATGAGTATTCAGTGATTCAGGGAAGGAGTGCGTATTCCTCAAAGGTGAATAGCACCACGTTTGGCAACAACCAATCCCCAAGCTCCCATCGTTCACTACTCTTTGTACTCCTTATCTTGAAGTATAGATGTAAGCGTGCGTAGAAGCAGCTCTCATAACCGGCATTTGATAACTCACTTGGATGTAAGGTAGCCAACGGGGTTTAACGTATTTTCAACAGAACTCACGCCAAGTCTATGGCCGACTCTCAAACCACTCTGCGCCTCCTTTGCAAAAGTTTAATGCCGCAAGAGAAAATATAGACTGAGTCCAGAATCCGGCATATCGTTTTCCATTCGGACATGGCAATTCACCGACAGCGAAGACGTACCTGAGACGTTTCCCAGGGTTCACCCACCGGCAAACCCATCTGAATTGGGGTCTTGTCGCCGAAGACAAGCTCCCTGCCGGCGGCCGACCCTGTCTGCCTGTTCAACTTGACAATGACAGCCGGCAGCCAGCAGCAGCGTCGTGATAAGCCTCAGCCGTTGTGTATCTCTCCGGAGCTGATGGCGAGCTAGCCTACTCGGTTGTGGACCGCGTGTTTCCCGAGGTAGCATTCAGTGAACAGAATCTCGGAATCTGAACATTTGTCCACGTGAGAGATGATTGCCACCACCAGACCTCTCCGGGATCTGTGGATTATCTGCAGTGCAACATCGTCTAAGGACTTGGCAAACACCGATAGACCCGGGCCACGCCGCCACGGCCACCATGCCACGGACAATAGCTGCAAGATACGGATAGCGGACGACGACAATGGGCAGAGCCTCATATCTTCCTTCCCGAAGGAGACAGAGAAACAGCACCAAAGGAGAATAGGACGTATCCGTAGATAAAAATGGCCCCCACCATCGGGATGTATACACATGCAGACATGGTAAGAAGTTGCGTCAGCCTCCTAGGCCCCCCTTCCCCCCCCCCCTCCCCCTTCCTAGTAAGTCTAGAGAAGGTAGAAACTCCATCAAACCAACGTTGCGCACGAGCTTCGAAAGAAGACTTGATCCCCGAGATGATCCCGGCGAAGACATCCCCATCTGAATCCACCGGTTCGCCTCCCGGCCCCTCATCCCGTTGGCACCAGCACGTGTTGGTATCAAAAAAAAAAAAAACCACAAATTCTGTTCCGTAAGCAAACACAAACACAATCGCAAAAAAAATAAAAATAAAAATAAAAAGAGAAGAGGAGAAGTAAAATTGGGTACGAGCCGCTGCTCTTCTGCAACGCTCAGAGGCGCAGCGGGAAGATGCCAGGTTCGGCACTCTTCCGAAGCTAAGAGATTCGCTGCTTCGCATAGGGTTGCGGTTGGATCCCCCCCAACTCCCCCTCTTTCAGAGTCTCTCCATCGCCTTTGCGGGGCTGTTGGATGTTGGACGTTGGCATCCGACGGCCTAACACAGAGACTTTTTGAATATATCGCCGAAGTTATATGGGCGCATGGTTCGATGTCGCCACAGACTACCAAAATATCCCTTACCTCTGCGTCTTTTCCGTCCTTCGCCTCCGAGGCTAGTGAGTGACATCGCGGGCCCCCTTGGGAACGGTCTGGCTAAGAGATCTAACCTTTGGTCTTTGCGGGAGAACCGTTGAGAAACTCGAATTGGTTGCAAACGCCGCACCTAATTCCTGATGGGAAGCGCAACGGCGGCGCTAGTGGCCGATGCTATTGAGCGGACGCCACGGAGGAACCGCGTTTAGAAGTAAGTCGTAACGCCGCTTCTGCGTGTGTGTGTGTGTGTGTGTGTGTGTGTTACCTCATGTGTTTGCGTGGCGTGGCCACTTACGGGAGAGGCGGCAAACTATTGTTTTCTGCTCCGTCAGATTCGATCTTGTTTAGTCTGTTGGAACTCGGTTGTTGTTGGTTCTCGAAAATGGTGTGTCTGCCCTTTGCCCAAAGAGGGAACATGTCCATCCAACCATTGGAAGAAGAAGAAAAGACACAAGAGATTTCCTGATCGATGAATGCCGTCAGTCTCCCACACTGGCACACAGAAAGCGGTGCTATGTATGCATGTCTTAGCTGACGCTTTATTCTTTCAACTCAAAATAGACGGCTTCTCAACCTAGCGAGTCAAGTCAACACAGACACCACCGAAATTTCACTCGTGTCACTTATTATACGACTCAGCGGGCGTTGATACAGTCAGCGTAGGGCAGAAAAAATAGGTCCCATCAGCCCTTCCCGTTGATCCCAACTTCCCCCAAAGGCCCAAGGACACGCGACGGCCCCCATCGACCAGTTGTTCGCGGTGTGATGTATCCGTACGGTAGCAACGGAGCTAGCATCAGGCCTGTGCTGCAGGAACAGAAGAGAGCACGCGAAAAGGGAATGGAGACCCGGATTGCAGGCGCGAAGGATCCAGATCAGGGGAAATACAGGGGCTTCTTGGGTTCTCCATCGGACCTCGACTGGCCCAGTAGGGGAACATTGATGATCGGGGCCGAGGCAAACTCCACGAGTCCACCTAGCACCAACAGAGGGGGGGGGTCCATACGGATGGATACGTTGACCCGTTGATTAGGTTCTTCGCACTTGTTCGCGTTCAGTTCGCTTTCATACTGAGTTCGTACGGAGCAGAGTTGAGAAGTACAGAGCATCTGGAGTTCGTGCTGTCATCCTGTTTGTTCGTCCCATTCGAGCCGCTCTGACCAGCACCCCGGCAGTTTGCGAGATTCGAATTTCATGCAAAAGTCAATACTCGTCAACTTTCTTCCACAAACCCTTCCAGAAGCCTGCCGCAATCGAACGACAGGTTACGCACGTCTCATTTCCCTCTTCTGACATTTTGATCTAAGCCTCCCCCGTCTTCCTTCGGCTTCGGAGGGATCCCGGACGGATGCCAGTTCTTCTTGTCCTACGCAACAGAACCTCGTGTCGATCCCCGGGTCAAAGCAGAAGAGCGAACGAGAAGCAAGTGTAGAGTGTGGATGGCACTCAACTGCCCTGGTCCATGCCTCGCTTCAGGCCTCATGGAATCAAGGAGAGAGAATGTGTGTGAGAGACTGTGCGAGAGAGAGAGAGAGAGAGGGAAAAAGAGAGAGCAAAGGCTGAAGGGGGGCTCCGCATCTACCCCGTAGCCACCACACTATCCCGGAGCATGCTGCCCAAAGGGGGATAATCCTAGCAGTCGGCCCTAGACGTGTCGTGGGAGGAGAACTCTCGACTCTCGACACACATTCACGCTCCTCCTCCTCCTCACACACAACCCAGTCGAGAAGGGAGATTGACATCCATTATCCGCCCCCATGCCTCAAGCACCATGTTCAAGCACCTTGCCTCAGGCAACACAGCCCGACTAGCAGGGCCAGGAAAGCTCGCCGTCGCGCCGCAAACAGATCCCTGGTCATCGATCAGCTTTCTACACGGTACCCAAGTCTCGAACCGCTTGCTTTCTCCTCAATATAAAGACTCTCCATCATGGCCCTCCCGCTTCATGAACTCGTCAGGAGTCTTCCCTGCAGCCTAGTCACTCTTTAATATCCCCTTCTCGGGTCGGTTCTTCCCCCCTTCCCCCTCCTCAAGGCTCCAAGACTTTCCTCCGTTCCGCTCTTTTTTTGTTCTCAGCCCTGTCAAGATGAAGTCCTCCGCCGTCATCGCAACGGCGACCCTGGCCGCCGCGCCCTTCGCCGCCGCGGGTCTTCTCCCCAAGCGCGCCGAGAATGCTACGTGCCGCTCCCTCCCCGGCGACGCCAGCTGGCCCGCCACGACGGTTTGGGATACCCTCAACACCACCGTCAGCGGCAAGCTCATCGCCACGGTGCCCATTGGTTCCGTGTGCCACGACCCCAACTACGACGAGGCTGCCTGCACAGCGCTGCAAGACTCGTGGACTCTCCCCGAGACTCAGTAAGCTCATCTTTGGTCCCAAGTTGCGAAGAACCTCAACTAACAAACCCCCAGCTTCCCCTCCTCTTCCTCCGTGATGCAGAGCTACTTCGCCAACCAGTCCTGCGACCCCTTCACGGACCGCACACTCCCGTGCCTGCTCGGCAACTACGTCAACTACGCTGTTGAGGTGACATCTGCCCAAGATGTTGTCGAGGCCATCAACTTTGCGCGGGAGAACAACATCCGTTTCCTCGTCCGCAACACAGGCCATGAGTAAGTCTAAACCGTACACCCTTCTACTAGGAGCACCCTCCCGC